ATTTTTACTTATTTGAGAGGCAGAGAAACAACATACAAAGAGAAGAACAGAGAGCTCTCACCTGTTGGCCCTCAAAGGGTCAGAATGGCTGGGGCTGGGCCAGGCCCTACCTGGGACTTGGGATCTCCATGCAGGTCTTTGGTCTGGTTGGCAGAGACCCAGTGACTTGAGTCATCACCTGTGGCTTCCCAGGATGGGCGTTGGCCAGATGCTGAGATCAGGAATGGATCTGGAACTTGAATCTAGGCACCCTGATCCATAACACAGGCATACCAGCCACCATCCTAACTGCTGTGCCAAGTGTTCACCCCAGGTCTGCAGTTTTTCTTTTTCTATACTGTTACATCTTGTTTATCATTATCATTAACAAAAAATGATAACATTTTTTGGGGGGGAAGAAAATTAAGCCACAATTTAAACTTTGTAGTATATAGTGATTAAGCATGGTTTTACAGAACTTTGCATTTTAACAGTTGAAGAATAGAAAAGTTTTAGGCAGGTGAGCAGGGAAATCCCCAACAACCTAGTGAGTGAGGAAGAATTTAACCCTACATCCTACCTAGTAAAGTCCAGGAGAAGCAAATAGGGAGCCTGACCAGTAAGTACAGGCTGAGCGATTATAGGCTGATTGGCCTTTTCCCTGGCTGTTCTAGCCTTTCTATATCTTTATCTATGTCTCTCTCTGTCTATCTGAAAAGCCAGATGGGAAGCCTGATCAGTGAGGTACAAGCTGCGTGATTATCAGCTAGCTGACCTTTATTAGTCTCTGTCTGTCTGAATTAATTTTGGGGCTCACAGCAACCCTGATGGTTGGTGTAAGAGAAGCCTGGAATGTGCAGAGAAATCCTCCGTACCCTAGTTAGGAGTAACTTATTTTCGTGTCCTATATAGTAAGGTATGTGTGAATCCCCACTGATTGTTTCCTGTCTAAATCTAAGCTTTCCTTGCTGTTCTCTGTTTATTCTAAATTTTTTGTTGTTGTTTGTTTTGTTTTTTTGAGGGGGGCTCCGGGGCGACCCTGATGGTCATTGCAAGAGAGGGTGGGGATCCAAAGTTGGAGCTAAATGGGGACCAGAGAAAGCTCCTCTCCCCAGTCCCATAGGGAGTTTATTGTTCTCCTGTTTCTGTGGACTGCTCAGGGCTCCTGGCTGTTGTTCCGGTGACACTGGGCTCTGCGAGGAGGGATTTGGACTTCTATCCAATGTGGGAGATTCAAATGGGAGTGGATGACCTCAGAGTACTCAGCCTCCGAAGGCACTCTAATTCCTCGTGGTCTCCTTGGCAGTTAGGATGTAGTCCTTGGTGCCCATACTGATAGTCCTTGGTGAGGATCTGGGAGTCTCCAAGGTTGGGATACAAGCCTCCTCTTGTCCACCTGCTCCACTCTGGGATCCCCCCTGCTCTGTGCATATCCTGTTAAGAGGTTGTCAGGATTGCTCTTGATACCCCCTATGTCTTTTTGTTTTTACTATTGTCTAATGCTGATTTGAGTCTGTTGTCTATAAATTACCTGTTATGATCTTGATAGGTTATGCTTTACGTCTGCCTCACACATTTTAGGGAGATGGAAGATTTCTCTGCTCTCCCGCCCCATTACCGAGAAGCATAGGGTCTTAAAAGTGTATTGGGTTTTACAATTCTTTGATGTAGATCATGAGCAGTCTGACTCATATTGATTGTAGGTTCATTGATTACATCACAATATCTTGTTGCATGAGATACAGGTTGTTAGAGATTGAAATAATATTACATTTTACAGGTACCATTTTTTAGATTGATAGCATTTCAATTTAAATTAGGGCAAACATGTGGTATCTAACCTTTTGGGATTGACTCATTTCCCTTAGCATAATGGTTTCCAGTTGGGCCCATTTGGCCACAAAAAAACTGCATTTCGGTGTTTTTTTTTTTTTTAATAGCTGAGTAGTATTCCATGGAGTAAATAAACCACAGCTTTCTTATCTAGTCTTCTGTTGATGGGCATTTCGGCTGCTTCCAAGTTTTTGCGATTATTGATTGTGCTGCTATTAACATGGGGTGCATGTAGGTTTCTCGTGTAGCAGGGCACCCCTCCCAACAGTGTTCTGTGCCTCAGCTGGTGACATATGCCTTGTTAAAGCTATAAGCTAGTTTAGATTATCCTAAAATCTGCCAAATTCAGTAAAAATTATGCTTCAACACTATAAACTGCTAAATACTAAAATGAAAATCGACCTGAGACAGCTGAATAGTATCCTATAGCAATTTTAAGGTAGATAAAAGCCAGTTGTATACAAACTAAAATTGAAATGTTAATAAAGTAGTCACAGGATGTGGTTAAAACACAGCTAACATCGGATTCAGCAGGGGCAAAAACCTACCCTAGCCTGTGCTACACCTACCCTGGTTCTCACGAACGCCAGTGGGTGCTGGAGTCTATCCTAGTCCTGCGCACTCAGCCCAGTCCACACTTGTGCCAAGGGATACTGCAGCCATATCTAGACCAGAATGCGGTTCCTATTCCAGACCTTGTGCTTACCAGTAGGGACCACAACTCAGCCAGGGTGTCTCCTTGGCTTCCCTACCAGGTCTGTTCCCAGTCATAGATCATGAATGTGCCAGTGTTTGCTCTGACCCAGTTTGGCATAGTCCCTCACCTGTCATGACCTTTGCCTTTGGATGCTGTAACCTAGCCTGACCTGGCCAGCGCTAAGTCCCACCACTTGCTGGCAGGTGCTGGAACCTGTCTCTGCTCAGTCTGCTCCCATTCCAGGCTCATGCAGACTGGTAGGTGTGACAGCCTAGCTGAACTTGACCTGTACTCCAGCCTGGTTTTTGCTATTGCCAGTGAGCAAAGGTGGGTTTGGCCCTGCTCAGTCCACCTCACACCCTGTTTTAGGATGCATGTGCAGGTGCTGCAGCCTGGACCTGCCCAGCCTGTTTCCAGCCCCAGCACCTGAGTGTCGGCAGGTTCCATGGTCACTCCTAGCTCAGCCCATCACCACTCCAACTCTTTTCTTTTTTTTTAAAGATTTATTTTTTTTTATTGGAAAGACAGATATACAGAGAGGAGGAGAGATAAAGAAGAAGATCCTTTGTTCGATGATTCACTCCCCAAGCACTGCAACGACAGGAGCTAAGCCAATCCAAAGCCAGGAGCCAGGATCTTCTTTTGGGTCTCCCACACAGTTACAGTGTCCCGAGGCTTTGGACTGTCCTTGATTGCTTTCTGAGGCCACAAGCAGGGAGCTAAATGGGAAGCGGGGCCTCCGGGTTTAGAACTGGCACCCATAAGGGATCCCAATGCATGTAAGATGAGGACTTTAGCCACTAGGTTACCATGCCAGGTCCCAATCTCTAACTTCTAATTCAGATTTTCCATCTTCCCCCGCCCCCCCCCCCGGTCCAAAGTGTCTTACAATTCATTCATTGTTTTTTCAACTATGTCCATCCTATTTTAAATGCCTACTTAGTTTGCAATTTTTACATTTTCATTTAAATTGTTTAAAAAAAAAACTTCCTCTTTTTTCATATTCCAGAGCCACTTTTTAAAAAATTAGGTCAAGTACACATATTTCATATTTTTTCTCATTTCCCCATTTCTCACATTGTTGTAGTTTTGATTTTGTTGGTTTTCTGCTGTGTCTGAGTTTTGGTGTCTTCTGGTGTGCTTTGCAATTACTGAATGTGAACAGCTATTTTCTCTTTTTTTACAGATTGATTTATTTGAAAGACAAACTGATAGAGAAAGAGATAGAATCTTCCATCTGTTGAGTCACTCTCCAAATGGCCACAGCAGTTGGGACTGGTCCAGGGTGAAGCCAGGAGCCCAGGATCCCATCCAGCTCTCCCATGTGGATGGCAGGGGCCCTTGCTCTTGAGCCATCCTCTGCTGCTTTCCCAGGCACCTTAGCACAAAACTGGGTCAGAAGCACCTGGGACTCAAACCTGTGCTCAGAATTAGGAAACTCCAGCCGGAACAGCAGCCCTCAGCAGCTCTTTTTCCTCATAGTATTACCCATAGAACATTCCTTTTCCTGTTATCCATAGAAGATTCTTTGAAATCTGAGGTAAAGATAGGTTTCCCTAAGTGGCCACAATGGTCAGAGCGAAGCTGATCCGAAGCCAGGATCCCGGAGCCTCTTCTGGGTCTCCCATCCAGATATAGGGTCCCAAGGCATTGAACCATCCTCAACTGCTTTCCCAGGCCACAAGCAGGGAGCTGCACCTTCCATTTACTTTCAGTAAGATCTTTTGAGCCTTCCAAGTGGTGCCCATTAGTGCTGAAATCCAGTTATGGCTATAAAGACTCAGAGGATAACCTCCCATTTCTGCACTGCATGTTTACCAAAAAGCAGTTTTTTCCAGGCTTCCCTGGATCCAGGGATATACTGGACCTGAGGGCTATGCCGTCCTCAGCGACCTTGGCTTGTGCCAGGCTCTCATATTAGACTTTACTTTGGGTAAAGCTTTAGGTTTTCTTTTCTTTCATCTGTAATAAAACAGCTGTGAAAGAATGAAACATAAGCTAATCCATGCAATAAACCTGCAACAAATTAAGCAATAAACGAATGAGCACTGCAAAACAGGGGAAAAAGGATTGAGACTGTGGACCGTACCAATGTAAATAGCCTCATTGTGGTATAGTGCATGAAGCTGCTGTCTGTGACGCCAGCTTCCCCCTGTGAGCATTGGTTTATGTGTCTGCTGCTTCCTTTCCGCTCCCTGTTAGTGAGCTGGGAAGGACAGCAGAGGGGTGGGTCAAGTGCTTAAACCCCTACTACCCAAGTGGAAGACTTGCATGAAGCTTTTAGCTCCTGGCTCGGGTCTGACCATTATGGCCACTTTCAAGGGGGTGCAGGTGAACAAACGATAGAAGATATCTATCTCTCCCTCTCTTTTTGTTAACTCTGACTTTTAAATGAATTAGTCATTTTCTTTTTAACCCTAGGTGATATTTTCTGGTGGAAAAAAAAAAAAAACCTCTGGGTGTAGGGAGGTCTGTGTTCTATTCCTTACACCCACCTAAATCCAAAATGAAAGCTGATAAAAAAAAAATCTCCCAATCCCTGAGTTATGTTAAATCACATACATATATGACCAAAGTATCAGCAAGTAGCTGAGTCACTGTGAGTTTGAGGTCTTGGCATTGCTGTGGTCCTCTCCACTATCCCTGTTGCCAGAACCCAGGTTCTCTGTCCATCACATCCCGGGGTCCTCCCAGGAGCATCAGCTGGGGCAGATGAAGGAGAGGAGAAGATCCACCTCATTGCGCACGATGAGCTTCCCTGGATGGATGTTGTCTGGCAGCGCCAGGCTAGAGGTCATTTCCCAAGCATCCACGAAGGCCACACGGAGGCCAGCAAAGGCAGCACGCAGGAGCCGGTTCACCTGGAGGGTGAGCCAGTCACTGCCATACACGGACTTGTAGCCAGTGTTGGCCAGTTTGATGACCACAAGGGTGTGGGGCTCCCGGGCGAGGAGGGCTGTCACGGCTTCCCGGATCCCAGCCAGGCGTTGCACGAAGATGGTTGGAGGGAAGGTGGTGAAGTGAGCCCCCAGACCCAGCACGACCACGGTGTGGGGACCGCCAGCCAGGCCCCTCAGCTCTTGGGCCACGGAGTGCAGGGAGGCCACAGGTGTGCGTTTGGAGCGTAGGGGCCAGCTGTGAGCCCGCCAATGCAGCACGATGCCCTTGCTGGTGTCCACCAGCATCAGGGGCCCTACCTGATAGGTGGCATGCAGATCCACGGGCTTGAGGGCTGTTGGGAGGATAGGAGCGAGAGGGAGTAAGGGGTTAATGAAGGGCTAGGTATTCTTCTCTTATATAAATAAAATTCAGTTCCTGTTTGTTTCCTAGGACACAATCGTCCTGACACCCTGACCCTGACATTCCTCCTGCTCAGTGTACTTCACAGTTGCTTGGATCACCATAACCCATCTGAGTGCCTCTGGATTAAACTTTAACTTACCACAGCATTGACTTCCCTTTGCAGGCTGATCACTCCCCAAACTACTTTTTTCCCTCTCTGTAACTTTACATTATGCCATTTTCCCATTTTTTTCTGCTCATAACTTTGCTCAGTTATTTGCTTCATAGCTCCCTTGACCGTGTAGATGAAGGCATTTGCTAAATTTCTGTTGCTGTCATCTACTTTTGTGGGGAAAATTCAGTCTTTTTTTTTTTTTCCTTTAAAAAAAAAAAAGAGGGCCCGGCGCGGTGGCGCAAGTGGTTAGGTCCTCGCCTTGCACGCCCGGGATCCCATATGGGCGCCGGTTCTAATCCCGGAAGCTCCACTTCCCTTCCAGCTCCCTGCTTGTGGCCCGGGAAAGCAGTCGAGGACGGCCCAAAGCTTTGGGACCCTGCACCCGCGTGGGAGACCCGGAAGAGGCTCCTGGCTCCGGATCGGCATAGTATCGGCCGTTGCGGTTCACTTGGGGAGTGAATCATCGGACGGAAGATCTTCCTTTCTGTATCTCCTCTCTATATATCCGCCTTTCCAATAAAAAGTAATAAAAATAAATCTTTAAATAAAATAAATAAATAAATAAAAGAAACAGATTTAGGGGCCTGGCACCATGGCTCAACAGGCTAATCCTCAACCTTCTAGCACCAGTATTCTGTAGGGGTACTACTTTGTGTCTCAGCTATTCTGCTTCCCATCCAGCTCTCATTCTGGGAAAGTACTGGAGGATGGCCCAAAGCCTTGGAAGCCTATACCTGCATGGGAGACAATGATGAGACGTTGGTTTCAGATCAGCTCAGCTCTAGCCATGGTGGCCATGTGGGGAATAAGTCAATGGATGGAAAAATCTTTCTCTATGTCTCTCCTTCTGCCTGTAAATTTGCCCTTCCCATAAAAACAAATAAATCTTGAAAAATAAACAAATCTTTAAAACTTTATTCATTTATTTGAAAGGCAGAGCTACAGAAAAAGAGAAACAGTTTTTTTCTTTCACTGGTTCATTCCTCGAATGGCCACAAAAACTGGGTCTGGGTCAGACCAAGAACCAGGAACTTCCTGCAGGTTTCCCACATGAGTACAGGAACCCCAGCACTGGGGCCATCTTCCACTGCTTTCCCAAGCAGGTCAGGGAAACTGGATGGGAAGTGGAGCAGGACTTGAACGGGTGTCTATATACACTGCTGGCACTTCGGGTTGTGGTTTCACTTACTTTGCCAAAGCAACTCTCCCTACTTCCACCTTTTTAGATTTTCCCTAGGAGCTGTGTCTTCCTGACCTTTGGCCACTCCACAAGCCCAATCGCTATTTTCTCTCTAATGTTTCTCAGCTGCCTTCAATCTGGTATGTATGAAATAAGTCTTGCGTCTCTGCACAAATCTTACTACTTCTGAGTCAGACTGGCACTCATATGGGATGCCAGCATCACACTGTACCATGACCCCAGTCCCTTTGTTATTTAGGCTTTTAATACTATTACTATGTTCATTTACTGTACAGATTGGAGTGTCCTCTATCTCACAGATACCGTTCCGGATGCTTTTGTAATCAGTGGTTAAAAAGAGACATTAAGTCCTACTTATGGAGCTAACGGTTCAAAAGAGAGAGAGGGGCAGGCATTTTCAAATGTAGAAGGAAGATTGGACATTTTGAAGACCTGAAAAGTTAGTGTTCTTAAAGCATAAGTAATGATAAGAGATGATGTTAAAGATAAAGTTAGAGTCAGCACCAGCATGATCTTTACTTTGGAGTTCTGTGTACACTAAACATGATATTCACATTTTAATTTTATTTATTTGAAAGGCAGAGTGACAGAGTCGAGATGGCAGAGAGGAATCTTCCATCCCTAAATGCTCAGCAATAGCCAGGTTAAAGCCAGGATCCCAGAACCCCACCCAAGTCTCCCACCTGGATCATGAGGACTCCAGGACTTGGGCTATCACTGACTGCCTCCCAGGGTGTGCACTGGCTGGAAGTGGAGCCAGGGAGCCTGGCACGATGGCTCAATTGGCTAAATCCTCAACTTGAGAGCACTGGGATCACATACGTGTGTATATGGGAGAGACAAGGAGATCTTTCATCTGCCTGTTCATTTCCCAAATGACTACCACAATGGCTGGGGCTGGTTCAGACTAAAGGCAGGAGCCCAGAACTCCACCTGGTCTTCTACAGGTGTGGCAGGAGTCCAGGTACCTGGGCCATCCTCCTCTGCCTTCCCACATAGCAGGGAGTGGAAGTTGGAAATGAAGCCGCTGAGGCTCAAGCCAGTGCTCTGTTTGGGATTCCAGCATTGCGAACAGCAGCTTACCCTACAGTGTCATGACATGGACCTAGAAACTATACTGATTTTTTAAATGGCCAAGATACATTTACATGGAGCCAAGTTGACAGCTGGTGGTTCTGAAAGTTCCAGAAAGATCAACTGTGGATTTATTATATTCATGGTCATTGCCACAGCCACATGAAGTGGGCCAGATCATGGAGGAAAATCACTGCAAGGGACAAAAGAACTACAAAGAACTTCGTCATTGAAAAGCTGGGTATGCAAGGAGGAGATTGACAGTATAAAGGCCTGACATAAGGGAAAACTAGGTGAAAATGAGTTGCCCATAAACTAAGATGCTGTTACTAGAATGCTGTTACTTAACTTCTCACCTTTAACTGAAATAAAAGATACTAACAATAGTCCTTTGAGGCTACAAGGAAACATTCCTTCCAGTAATGTTGTTGAAAGTATATATAACAAGGAGATTTGGCTAATGTTAAACAAATTTATACTCTAACACATACATCCTGTGGAAGTCAGTCAGCTGGACAAATATGTATCTGGACGGACTGCTTCTAGTGGCAAATTACTTTGTCTAGGACACGTCCAAACTAGAACAGGTGTCTTGTGATAAAGCGCATCTCTGCAATGAATGTTGGACAGCCATAGGAAAAAAAAAAAAAAAAAGAAACGTGCCAAGACCCAACGGTATTCCATTTACAAATAGCCTTTAGGACACACACAGTCTGAAACTGAACGGAGAGAAGTCTGCCTACCATGGAGATGGTAACCAAAATAGTATAAATGGCTATGCTTTTTTTTGAAATAAAGATTTATTTATTTTTATTTGAAAGGCAGATTTTACAGAGAGAGGAGGAGGAGAGAGAGAGAGAGAGAAAATCTTCCATCCTCTCGCTCATTCCCCAAATGGCCACAATGAGCAGAGCTGAGCCAATCCAAAGCCAGGAGCTTCTTTCGGGTCTCCCATGTGGGTGCAGCATCCCAAGGACTTGGGGCCATCCTCCACTGCTTTCCCAGGCCATAAGCAGGGAACCGTATCAGAATGGCTGGGACAAAAACCGATACCCATATGGGATGCCTGTATTGCAGGCAGAGAATTTGTCTATGTCATAGCACTAACCTCCAAATTCTGGTACAATTCTAATGTAATACAAGTACTTTAGAACTGTTAGGAGTTGACACCACAGTTGGGATGCTGTTTGAGACACAGCCAGCTCACATGATTAAGACTCATCCATCCACATGCCCAGCATCTCCATCTTCAATTCAGCTCCCTGCTGATGTGTCAGTGAAAAGCAGTGGACGGTGGACCCCTGCCTCCATGCAAGGGACATGGATGAAGATCCTGGCTCTGGGCTTTGGCCTTACCTAGTCCTGTTGCAACCATGTGGTAGGTAGTGGCGAATCAGCATTGAGCCTGAGGAGCCAAAACCTGTTTAATTCATAACACAAATGTACTGCTCTGGTGGGGATGTTAATAATGGAGAAGAGTGTGTGTGTACGTGTAGGCAAAAGAGATATGAGAAATCTCCGTATTTTTTTCCAATTGTGCAGCGGCCACCACCCCTAATGCTGGCATTCATAGCAAAGCACCAGTTTAAGTACCAGTTGCTCTGCTTCTTCTTTAATTTATTTTAATTGGAAAGGCAGATTCACGGAGAAGAAAGACAGAAAGACCTTCCATCCATTGGCTCGCTCCGCAAGTGGCCACAACAGCCAGAGTTGAGCTTATCCAAAGCCAGGAGCCAGGAGCTTCCTCCAGGTTTCCTACATGTGTGCAGGGTCTCAAGGCTTTGGGCCGTCCTCTACTGTTTTCCCAGACCACAAGCAGGGAACTGGATGGGAAGTAGAGCAGCTGGAACATGAACTACTGCCCACATGGGATCCTGGTGCTTGCAAGGTGAGGACTCAGCCACTAGGCTACTGCACTGTGCCCACGGACATGGATTCCTAACACTGAAATACACACGGGGAGACCCCAGAGCAGTGTTCTGGCCAAAGGACTTTCTGAGCTAACCAACGTGATCTAGAGATTCAAGAGGGACAGACATTGATGCCAGCACACTGCAAAAGTTCGTGAAAGATGTACATTTTATTATTATTATTAATTTGTATTTATTTACTGCAATGGAAGAATTACAGAAATGGAGAAACAGATCTTTCATCTACTGATTCATGTCCCAAATGGCCCCAACTGCCAGGGCTGGGCAAACCAAAGCCAGGACCCAAGAGCTTCTATGCTAACACACCAGCCCTTATTTATTTATTTTGAAAGAGATACAGAGGAAAAGGAAGAGAGATCTTGTCTCTGCTGGTTAGTTGCCAAGATGGCCCCAACAGCCAGCAGCTTGAATCATCTTCTGCTGCTTCTCCCAGGTGCATTAGCAGAGAACTGGATGGGAAGTGGAACAGGAACAGGCACCTATGTGATTTGCTGGAGGTCCAGGCAACATCATTACCCATTAGGGCACAAAGCCTGCTCTATGGGACTCATTATTTCATTGTTTATATTTTATTTTAAAGGCAAAAGATAAGAGAGAAAGCGAGAGGCAGACACAGAGACCTATTGTCCCTTGCTTGCTGGGATGTCCAACTGTGTCTTTGGCCTCTGACTTCCATGTCATCAGCAGCATTCACGTGTTTGACAATCAAAAATGTCCCCCAAATGCCCTGTGTTGGGGGGGCAAGAGTACTGGGTGGCAAGACACTCTTAAAAGCTCACAAGTGCCCTCAACATGTGAGTCCAGCAAGGCAGGGGGCAGGAGTGGTCTCCCTCAACCCTAGGAGAGACCTGGAAGCCAGAAGTTGGGAGCTTCTTCCGGGTCTTTCACATAGGTATAGGGTTCCAAGGCTTGGGCAATCCTCTGCTGACTTCCCAGGCCACAAACAAGGAGCTGGATGGGAAGTGGAGCAGCTAGGACAAGAACCAATGCCCAAATAGGATGTTGGTACTTGAAGGCAGAGGATTGGACAATGTGCCAGTCCAGGCTTCTGTGCTTTGAATACAGCTCCCTGCTAATGCACCTGGGAAGCAATGGAGGATGGCCCAAGGTGCTTGGATCCCTGCCACCCATATGGGAGTTCTGGATGGAGTTCCTGGCTCCTGGCTTTGGCCTGGCCAAGTCCCAGCTGTTGTGGCCGTTTGAAGAGTGAACCAGTAAATGGAAAATTCTGTTTCAGATAAGTAAATGAAGTTTGAAAAACTCAATTCTGTGGGATTTTATGGACCAAGACAGGACATTTAACTTGAATGGAATATCAAATTTAAGGAAATGCTGGAGGGGAAAAGCACAAATGCTGTGATCACAGGGTGGAGATAGGGAGGCAGTATGCACCGTGGTGTATTCATTTGCACACGAAATGTAACAGCATTGCACCCCAGAGGCATGTGACATTGTTATGTATCCATTAAGCAGTTTCTAGAAGTAATTTTCATTATTTGTTTTGCTAGATATGGTAATCTTACCTGGGTTATGTATAAAAATACTTCAAAAATGTTAGACTGAGTGCCTAGTGCACAACAGCCTAGTGATTACAATCCTCACCTTGTGTATGCTGGGATCCCATATGGGTGTCAGTTTGTGTCCTGGCTGCCCCCACTTCCCATCCACCTCCCTGACTGTAGCCTGCGAGAGCAGTCAAGGACGGCCCAAAACCTTAGGACCTTGCACCCGCGTGGGAGACACCGAGGAAGCTCCAGGCTCCTGGCTTTGGATTAGCTCAGCTCTGGCCATTGCAGCCACTTGGGGGAGTGAACCAGTGAATGTAAGATCTCTGTCTCTCCTTTCCGTAAAATTCTGCCTTTCCAATACAAATAAATACATCTCTTTTTTTTTTTTTAAAGGAAAGGCAGACATACAGAGAGGAGGAGAGACAGAGATTCCGACCGATGATTCACTCCCCAAGTGACTGCAATGGCTGGTGCTGAAAGCCTGGAGAAAGATCCTCTGCAGGAGCATTCACCTGCTTACGTAGAGTTGCAAAGGAAGTAGAGGACTTGATGAGCCAGAGTTTACGCCCAATATCTTCCAACTCAAGTCACACCTGCTACAGAGACACTCTGCCTGAGCGTCTAATCCAACCATCCTCCTCACCGCTGTGCACTGTCATGTCACTCCTTAAACCAAGAACCAGGCCAGTTGTAACTTGAATTAAATAAAACGATCAATAGTTAACCACCCCAAGACTACTCAGATATTGGGGTTATCTACTAAGGATTTTAAAGACAGATCACAAAAATGTGTGAATGAGCCACTGTGAATAGCTACTAAAATAGCTAAAATGTAAAAGAAGAAATGTTTTTCAAGTGTTAGGAAGGATACAGAACAAGAAACCCTACACATGAAGGGGGCACTGTATAGAATGATACAAGTAATTTTTTTTTAAAGTTAAATGTATACCTACCATAGGACCTAATCATTTCATCTTTAAGTTGTTTTTTTTTTAAAGAAAGTATATGTCCTTACAAAGACTTGAACATAAATATTCATGGAAGTTTTATTTGTAAGAGATAAACATTAGAAGAAGCTCAAATATCCATCAATAAATGGAGAAATAAATTGTGGTATATTCATATAATAGAAAACTAGTCAGTACTACAAAAGAATGAACTTGCACCACATACTGAAACAGTGATGGCACTGAGTTAGAGAAGTCCCACACCTGTGGCTTCTCTGTGAACGCACCCTGTGGCTGCATTTGTATGAGGCTCTGGGAACTGCAAACTAAGCGGCAGAGTCAGAAAGCAGAGGGAGCAGATGTCGGGGGTGAGACGGGCAAGAGGGAGGGAACTACGAAGGGGCACAGAACACTTCTAGGTACTCATACCAAAGTCGTCTCATAGAGATTGTATCATGAGAGGACATGGGGGAATTGTTCAGAAAGTTCATGGCAAAAGGAAAGGATACATTTATTTTGGTCCTCCAAAATTTTGAGTTTTATACATTTTGTCTCTTGATATCCTTTTGTGTGAACTTTTTGAAGGCCCTGAGTAGGTTATAACTTGTCAAATTTGCCCATTTTAAACATGTAACATTCACTTGTGATAGGCCAGTTTTGCCTCAATTGATTGTTTTGAAACTTTTATTAATTTATTTTTATTTGAAAGTCTCTCTTTCTCTCTCTCTCACGCACACAAAGATCTTCCATCCACTGGTTCACTCCACAACTACCTGTAACAGCTGCAGCTGGACATGGCTGAAGTCAGGAACCCAGAACTCAGTCCGATCTCCCAGACAGGTGGCAAGGACCCAAGCACTTGAATCATCATCTGCTGCCTCCCAGGGAATGTGTTAGCAGGAAGCTGGATTGGAAATGGAGTGGGGGGTTTGAACTCAAGCACTGTGATATGAGATGTGGGTCCCCAAGAAAGGGGAACCTCAAGTCAGAACGCACTGATCATGATGACAGTACAGTAGCTGCACACCTGAGATTGGAAATAATAGTGGGTGGCAGTTCCCCAAACACAGGGTGAATAAGTGCTCCAGTGCACTTGCTGGTAATGTCATGATTGAGTTGATAGAATGTGCTCACTAAGAGTAAGGGCCCAATGTGATGTGACAGGCACCCCAGTGGCATTTTTTTCTCTATGTTCTGATGGCCTAAATACTTCTGATGCTCGCACCACGTACTGACTGTCTAGGACATCATTTGGCTTAAAATAACTGCTTCAGCTGCTAAGTGTTTGTTTTGCAGGAAGTTACTCATGCATTCTGTGATCTTGACTATTTAGACAGGTAGGAGATGTGGCTTTGGTTTATTGAACTTCAGCAAGCCAAAGAAAGGATAGAGATTCAGCAGAAGTCATTCAGCTTTCAGTGCTAAGGGAATCACCAGCCCTATCAAGATATGAGTCAAAGTCAGCCACAAAATCAAAAAAGAGAAAAATAAAACCCTCAGGAAATTGACATGGGGTGGGGTAGATTTAACTTTACTGAAGAGATTCCCTGGGAGTTTTATTTAGGCAGTAAATGGGGGAAAGTTTTGGCACTGTCGTTGAGCTCATTGCATGCTTTCCGGTGAGTTAAACTGGAAGAGCAGCACCATGACAGTGGTGTACCCTTCCCACTCATGACTCCCTCCTTCTCCTTTTGAAAGCCACAACGTCCTGCCTGCCTCTCCCCCTAAGGCTCAGGAGTTTTGTTGTTCAAAACCTTCCCCTTTCCACTTTTTCCTACTAAACAACCAGGTGTCCTGTCCCTTCCCCTCACGGATACTCACAGGACACGGTGTCACGCAGATACTCCCACCACTGCCGAAGCGTGGAGTCCCCCATCATGTGGACAATGCGGCCGGTCAGGCAGCCCAGGATGCTGTCCTCGGTGGGGAAGGAGCGGCCTGAGCAGGCCAGTGAGTGCCATACGTTTCGGTGGTAGAAGCCAGAGGGCCGTGGGGCTGGGAGTCCTGGGTGGCATGGGGGCCGTGGGGACAGGGCTGAGGGAAAGAGAAACCAAAGAACTGACATTAGTATCACACAATATGTTGGGCAACTTTTGCTGAATTTCATGTACATGAATTCAGTTCTTCTTTCTCAACCCCTGAAGCACTATTCTTTTAGCCCCCTTTTTTACAGGGAGGGACACTAAGGAACTAAAGTGTTTCATAGTTTTGCCATAATCAAGAACAATAACTGGTGGTTTCTCAAAACACCTAAAATAAAAGGAAACAGTATGATGCAGCCATCCCCACTTCTGGCTCTATATGCCCCAAGGGTCGGGCAGCCTGCCTGAAGAGATATTTGCACGGCTGTGTCCCTTGCAGCATTTATTCATAACAGCTGCATCCACATATTGAATGTCAGTGGGTCGGTGGCTAATGCTAATGTGGTATAGATATGCCATGAAATAGCATTCAGCCTTTATCAGGGGAATCCTGCCGTTGGTGCCATCCATGCCGTTGGCATGAATGAACTCGGAGAAGGGCTCAGGGAAGTGAGTCAGATGGAGAAAACCAAACACTGTGTAGTTTGACTTATTTGTGGGATGTTCAAAAAGTTAGATTTCCAGAAGCAGAGTGGTTGCTTAATGAGGCTAGTGGGTGGAGGGGAGGTGGGGCACGGGGAGTTGTTGATCAAAGCATCTGACATGCAGCAGCAGGATGACTATAGTTAAGGATGCCACACTGCATGCTGGAAACCTGCTATGACAGTTAAGTCCCAAGAGTGCCTGCTGTCAGAGCGAGGTGACACCAGGCGCTAACTGGACTATGATAACCATTTCCCAATGTGTACACATCACAGTGTGTACCTCATATAGATGCACTTCTGTCTTTTTTTTTCAGTTATAGCTTGCTATAACTGGGACATTTAAAAAAAAATATATATATTAAAGGAGGAAGCCCTGCTGTTTGTGACAAAGGAGTTGACGTTGCAGGACAGGCACAGTTAAAGTTGTGCCAGGCGCAGGATGAGTACTGCAGGCCCCCACTTCTTCTGAGGGAGAAGCTAAAATAGTGAAGCTCACAGATGCAGAGAACAGAAGGGAAGCCGAGATGCGCTGAGGGGACAGGCAGCAGGAAGACAGCCGTCAAGGATTGTAAAGTTTAAGAAACACAAGTAAATTCTAGAGATGTACTGTATGGCATAGAACCTGCAATTAACTATTATCTATTGACTTTTTAAAATTTGTTTTCACTTATCTTAAAAGTAGAAAGACAGAGCTTTTCTCTCTGCTGGGTTTCTTCCCCAAATGCCCACAATAGCCATAGATGGACCAGGCTGAAGCCAGGAGCCTGACACTCCATCCTGGTCTCAACGTGGGTAACAGGGACCCCAAGGAGTGCATACTTATCTCCAAACCCACGAAGATATTGCTGTACATTAAATATGTGCAGCATTTTGTATATCAAAAAGCATCTTTAAAAACGCGGTGACTGGCAAGGATAGCATTTGAATCTATAATCAGTTTGGCCCACCCTACTAGCCCTAATACCATGATAACCTGGTAGGGATAGATAAAACTCCCAGTGGAGTGTGTGCAAGTCCCATCCCTCTCTCCCCAACCTCTCCCAGCCCCACTCACCCAGGCTGCTGTTCCCGGTGGCTGTCACTTTGATCTCAATGCGGGACTTGCCCGGTGGGAGCAGCTTGTCAGTCACATTCCTGAAGAAACAGCCAGAGCTGAGCACTGAGAGCCAGCAAACCCCAGGCAAGCCTGGGTCGGGGTTGTTTGGCTTTTGATTTCTACTCGCCCTAACTCCCACAAATGGTGTGAGGTGACTGTGATGTAATTAACACTTTTGGCATAATAATGATTAAAAAAAATACAAAGAAGAGAAGTCTCCTATCAGGAGTCTGGGAGAGACTGCTGGCCATGAATCCACCCCAATGTTTCTCAGCTTACTGACTGCCAGGGCCAAAAGTTAGCAATTCATCTGTAACAGGTAGTTCCTTCATCTGAGAATCCCAGGAAAGACTTCCTGGGAGGAACACAGAGCAAATAAATTTCTCTCATACAAAAACTCAGCGGGGAAGCCTCACTCCCCATGCATGCAGTTTGGTTTGTGCAGAGTGACTTTCAAAGGAGAAGGTGGTAGAGGGGACTTAGCCACCCATCCCATCAGCCAGGTGATGAATTGTACTGGTGGCATAAATGCTTGACATGATGGAGAGAAAAATGTTAATGTCTGTGGTCTCTACTCTCCGAGCATTCAACCCCTTTTTTCATAAGGAAAAAAATTCCAATACAGGGGAATCCTATAATATCATTGACTGGTATTTCCCAGATTCTCAAAGTCATCAAGAACAAGGCATGTCTGAAAAACTGTCATGACTCCGTATATGATGCTAACTTAAATGGAATACCGGCAGTTTAAGACACTTGTTAAAATGTCCATGTCCCATCTTGGAGTGTCCAGGATCAGCACTCAGCTCTGGCTCCTAATCTCAGCTTCCTGTTGAGGCAGACCCTGGCAAAAATGCTCATGTGATTGGGTTCCAGTGCAATGCCTCAGTGGGTAAATCCTCACCCTGTAAACTGTCAGGATCCCAGGTGGGCACTGGTTTGTGTCCCGGCTGCTCCATGTCGCATCCCTTCTCTTGTACTATTGATAGACCTAAGTATCCACAACACCTTCCCTGGATATTATGGATAACATATTTTTAAATCTACTTAAATAATGGATATCTGAAAAAAAGAGAGAGGGATTTGATTTCCAGATGAGAAGTTGGAATTTCTGTTAAACCAAGACAGAAATCCAGGTAAATAAACGAAGCACTCGAACCCCTTTTGCTCTGAGAACATCTGCTCTGCCTTGGACACTTGGCCTCTTTGCTTCCCCAAGAGAATCTCTTTGCTTAAGACCTGTAAGTCCAGTGTCACTTGCAGGCTTGCCCAGACATCCAGTCTGACGATTTCACCATATTACATGGCTCTATCAGCCACTCAACCATCCCATATTGCATGAGAAGACAAACACTTGAATGGTATAAGTGGTGGAGCACATTGGATCATAGGAACAAGATTTGGCAGGTAGGATATGGCTCAAAGTTTGGCGAAGATGTCCCAGATTCCGGGTTTCTTACCATCCCAGCAGGGCCTCTTCCTGTTGTGTGGTCACCTTCAGGTAACTCCCACTTGAATGGCCAACCAAAGAGTTGCAAGGCAAGGTAGGGGGCTGAGCACAGAACCAGAGCTCACCAGAAACCACATCTTGGTACTGGCAGGTCGGCCCCTTTGCTCCCGTCGAGGAGGGGTCAACATTGCAAACAGCAATCTCTTCAGCACCAGTGGGTCCCCGGAAATACCCCCTAAAATTAACCGTGGCCCCCTTCTCTCTCCAGATTCTTCTCAGGACGCCAACTGCTTCACTGGAGTGGATCAGCCACACTCTGACCTGGGCCCGCCCTGCCCAGAGCAGGTGGAAGGATAGCAGGTAGGTGCCATTCTCCAGGTCCTGCACATCCCCAGGAACACCAGTGGTTAAGTCTGGACCCAGCAGCTTTGCCCGAAACAGATCCCCACCATGGGTCTTGGGCCTACCCCGGTGGTCCTTGGCCACAAGCACAACCTCCAGGGAGCCACCCAAGTCATAGGTAGCCTGTGCAGGGCCCCTCAGGTGGAAGGTAGAGGTTTGGGGGCTGGTGGAGGCCAAAAAGTCCCTCCCATCTCCTGGGGTCGGAGGCCAAGACAGAAGATGGGTCAAGTTGGCGAGCTCCTCTGGCAGAGACTTCAAGATGGAGGGTGACTGCGTGGTCCTGTGAGTAGACGTAGTAACCCCTGTGGCATTGGAGACAAATGTGATGGCATGGTAAGGTCCTGGAGGCCGATAGACAGTGCTGTCAGGCCAGGACGTCATGAAATATAACACCTGTGGGTGGAGCAAGAGGAAGCTGTCAGTAGTTTGTGTTTTCCCCATTTTGTTTAGGAGAAAAATTTCCACTCTTCAAAGCTAGTACTTCTGGCAGACAGGAAGACCAAGAAGCACTGCCCGTTTGCATCATGTTGTGCGTATCTCATAAGCCCAGCTTGTGAGTCACCACCTTTATGTGAAAAGAGTGTCTCATATTGTGATAAAGTGGGGAAGAAGTGAAGTTGGACTTCTGGTTTAGCTCAACTGTCTCTACACAGGCTTCGTTTCCCTACCAATACACACACACACACACACACACACACACACACACACACACACACAACACCCAGCCATAGTGTTAGAACAGACTTGGATCCAATCCTCCCAACTCTGATTTTTCTTGCTCCTCTCAATCCTGCTTCCCCTGTTTTGTAAACAATTATTTAATGTATTTTAACTATTTTATTTATTTTAAATATTCATTTTAAAAAATATTTAAATTTTTTTTAATTGAAAAGACAGATATTTAGAGAGGAGGAGAGACAGAGGGGAAGATCTTCTGTCCATTGATTCACTCCCCAAGCGGCCACAATGGCTGCAGCTTAGCTATCTGAAGTCAAGATCCAAGAGCCTCCGCTAGGTCTCCTACGGGGTGTAGGATGTTAAAGCTTTGGGCCATCCTCTGTTACTTTCCCAGACCACAAGCAGGAAGCTGGATGGGAAGTGGGGCAGCCAGGACATGAACAGGCACCCATCTGGAATCCCAGCAGGTGTAAGGTGAGGATTTAGCCACAAGGCTATCACACTGAGCCCTGTAAAAAATTATTTATAGTTTTTTACTTTTGGCTCTTTTTTTTAAAGATTTATTTTTTTTTTATTGGAAAGTCAGATATACAGAGAGGAGGAGAGACAGAGAAGACAATCTTCCATATGATGATTCACTCCCCAAGTGAGCGCAACGGCCGATGCTATGCCGACCCGAAGCCAGGAGCCCCTTCCAGGTCTCCCGCACGGGTGCAGGGTCCCAAAGGTTTGGGCCGTCCTCGCCTGCTTTCCCGGGCCACAGGCAGGGAGCTGGAAGGGAAGTGGAGCTGCCGGGATTAGAACCAGCGCCCATATGGCAGGCATGCAAGGCGAGGACCTTAACCACTGCGCCACTGCGCCGGGCCCTCTTTCTTTTCTTTTTAAAAAATATTTTAAAAATTCACTGAGAGGAGAGACAGAGAGAAAAATCTTCCATTCACTGGTTCATGCCTGAAATGGCCACAACAGCTAGAGCTGAGCTGATCTGAAGCCAGAAAGCAAGAGCTTTTTCTCCCATGTGGTTGCAGGGTCCCAAAGCTTTGGGCTATTCTCCACTGCTTCCCCAGGTCACAGACAGAGAGCTTAATGGAAAGTGGAGCAGCAACCAGGCCATGAGCTGAAGCCGATATAGGATGCTGGTGGTTGCAGGCATTAACTGGTTGAGCCATCATGCCTGGCCCTAGAACAACTATTTTTTTTACACATCTGTACCCTCTGTTAAATCATGCTGTTACAGTGGGGTATTGCCTGTTCCTAAGATCTAACACAGTAGTCTGTAGAGAAACTTAAGTAATTGGGTTAAGGGAAAAAATGGTAGCCCTCTGAAAAGAGCTGAGTGCATCGGTGGACAAGGGAGATATTCATAAGCCAAGAACACCTGGGCTTGTGTCTAACCTTGGAACTCCAAGTGGCAGACCGAAATCCACGGTGCTATTTCTCCTTTGTGCCTCCCTCTGGTTAAACGTAACAGAAGAGAGTGTCCCTGGCCTCAATACTTATCTCTTCTTATACTTCCCTTGAGTTGTAAATAACAGACCAAAGCATACCGAGACACTGTGTTAATGTCTTCTTTTACTTTTTTAGTTTTGCTAACATAAGAATAACTATTCTAAGAATTTCTAGCTTCACATAAGATAAGAATTAATGAAACCCTCTCTGTAACTCCTGTATTCTTTTAGGGTATAAAAGAAGGCTGCAGTATAGATTTTTAGAGATTAATGTAGATTAATAAAATCATTTCTAAGTTAAGCATCTTCTTGTTGTTTGTTCGATTAAGCCTAATACCCTCTTTCAAAACTCAAGACAGAGACCTTCAGCAGGAGGGTGAGGTGGAGAGAGAGAGAGAGAGAGAGCATGCTTTTGGGTTTTATGTTCTTCTGTGTCCTGTGAAACAGAAATAATAAGACAAGTCCAAACTCACAAGTCATGAGTTAACAAGAATGCAAAAAGTTTTTGCATTTATTTGAAAGGCAGAGTTACAGAGAGAAAAGGAGAGAGAGAGAGAGAGAGAGAGAGAGAGAGAATATCTTCTGGTTCACTCCCCAAAGGGCCCCAGTGACCAGAACCAGCCATGCAAAAGTCAGGAGCCAGAAACTTCATCCAGATCTCCCACCTGGGTGTAGGGGTCCAGATATTTGGACTATCTTCCTTTATTTCCCAGGCACATTAACAGAGAGCTGGATTAGAAGTGGAGTAGCCAAAGCTCAAGCTTTGAGAGAGAGAGCGTGGGATGCCAGAATCATAGGCAGTAGGTAGTTTAAATCACAGTGCCATAGCAATAGACCCAATTTATTGCCTTTGTGATTATGGCATATATATCAAGAGACCCATCTCTCTCTTTTTAAATTTTTATTTATTTTTATTGCAAAGTCAGATATATAGAGAGGAGGAGAGACAGAGAGGAAGATCTTCCATCCAATGAGTCATTTCCCAAGTGACTGCAATGGCCGGTGCTGCGCTGATCTGAAGCCAGGAGCCAGGAACCTCCTCCAGGTCTCACACGCGGGTGCAGGGTCCCAAGGCTTTGGGTTGTCCTCAATTGCTTTCCCAGGCCACAAGCAGGGAGCTGGTGGGAAGTGGAGTTGCCGGAATTAGAACCAACGCCCATATGGGATCCTGGCACATTCAAGGTGAGGACTTTAGTCGCTAGGTGATCATGCCAAGCCTCTGAGAACCATCTCTTGACCTCTGGACCCTCTGAATTTACTTTGCACATTGCACTTTATCATGGGTTAGGCTATCTAACCTGGAATATTATCTTTTCCTAATGAAAGGAGATATTTACTATGGAAAGCAAAGGTTATGTGAATAAAAAAGCAAAGGGACAGAAAAGGAAAAAGACTGAAAAATGCTACGCTCCCGGCTTTAGAGACAGTGGAAGGGGCCCTGAGTCAAAGAAAGTAGACAGGTCTCTAGAGATTGAAAAGGAGTTCTGTCCTGAAGCTTCTAATAGCCATACAGAAACCTGGAAGTCCCATTTTAATGGCTTCTGACTTTCAGGACTTTAAGAGAAGAAATGTGTGTTCCAATTGACTTTTTTTTTTTTTAACTTAGCAGTTTATACTATCCACGCAAGATTTTACAGAACTTCGTGCATTTTAGGGTAATCAAAACAGTTTTATAAATCGAATAGGCCATATATTAACAATTGAAGAGTAGAAAAATCTTAGGCACGTGAGCAGAGAAATCCCCAATAACTTAGCAAGTTTAGCACTGCACTATCATGCCGGGGCCTGAACTGACATTTGCAAAACTTTGTCACAGTAGCCATGGGGAACTATTACTAAATGAAGTTCAGAGTGATTGCCTGGGCTGACAGCCTATAAAGCTCCCCGAAAGACAGGGTCTGGGATCATAATAGACTAAGGCAATTTTAGATGCTGGTAACACATCAGTAGGTGGTTACATGTGATGTCCAAAAGAGAACCACTCCCAAATCATTCCTCTTGGGGTCCCATCGCGGTGGCCTAGTGTCTAAAGTCCTCACTTTGAACGCACTGAGATTCCATTATAGTTGCTGATTCTAATCCCGGCAGCCCCACTTCTCGTCCATCTCCCTGCTTGTGGTCTGGGAAAGCAGTTGAGGACAGCCCAAAGCCTGGGGACCCTGCACCCACATGGGAGACCTGGAAGAGCTCCTGGCTCCTGGCTTTGGATTGGCGCATCCCTGGCCATTGTGGCCACTTGGAGAATTGGGTCAGCAGATGGGAGATCTTCCTCGCTGTAAATCTGCCTTTCCAATAAAAATGAATAAATCTTTAAAAAAATGAGCAGAAATATTTTAACAGATGCTTCACAATAAAGGAAAATTCAGGTGACCAACAAATCTATAAATAGGCCATTACTGAATTAATAAGAAAAGAAATGCAAAATAAAAACAAACTTATTATTTCTACATGTTCAAAGAAAGGATACAATCAAAGTGCAGTCAGATGGAAATAATAAGCTCTAGTTTTATACACAGAGGGGGGACAAAAGGTTACAAGAATGGATTTTGTAGTGCAGTAGATAATTTAAAGAGAGAAACTGGTAGACCCCAAACAAAAAAGGGATTTGTCTGACTTGATCAGTTTACACAGTCAATAAACATATTGCATGTTAACCCATAAAAATGTACAAGTATTGTTCATCTAAAAATTTGCAGTAATTTAAAAAGAAACAGCCACTCTGAAATGGACTTTGACTTGATTACTAACTAAAGCTTTCCTGCAAACTCCTTCATTGCTCTCAGAATACAAATGAATTTCTAGATCAAGATCTCCAGATCACCCTTTTTTTTTTCAACACAGAAATCTAGGTTTTCATGTGAAATATTCGTTTAATTACCAACAACCCATTCTGTTTTCACAAGACATCTGTAATGGAAACTCCAATTTTGACCCATAATGGAGGGGGGACATGCCTTCTCCTGACGGCTTCTTGCATAACGATAACGAAGCACCCAAAAGAAGCAACAAGGGGTCACTTCAGAAAGGAGCAGAAAGGGAAACAACTGTTGGAGGAGAGAGCAAACAACATGAATCTTTTGTGGTTTTTTTTTTTTTTTTCCTCCTTGGGGATTCCACTGGACCAGTCTCTTCCCAGTTAATGTTTTAGATTCCTCGATAGACACCCCAACAGCCCACCTACTCACGCTCTTCCTTTGAGTGGCGTCCCACCCTGCCACGGGTCTTCCTAGAGTTGCAGCAGGGTGGAGGTGAGAAAATGAAGCGCCCCCTTCACCCTTTTAGACACAGCCAACTAACCTACCCAAAGATGAAGGCACACCGAGACAGAGAAGAAATGAGCCAGCCCTGAGAAGCACTGGAAAGCAAGAGCAGTACTCACCCAAACCAGAAAGGCCAATCCCACTGTCAGAATTTTGTATCCCTTGACTTGCTCCATGAATGGATGCATGTAGCTGGCCTCTTTTGCGGCAACCAGTCTGACTCAGGTGCACAGGTGACAAATGGAACAACTGAACTGCAACGAGCTCTCTCAGCATAAACTGGGAGTTTATAGTGGCTAGTTTCCAGTTTCCTTAATAGTTATTTATGTTGTATGTACACAGTCCACCCTCAGGTTGTAATGGCTTCAACCTTTGCACCTGAAATCTCAAAATACTTCTCATCATTTAATCTCCCTGTAACATTCTTTCTTGCCGCAGCCTCAAATTTGGAAGTCTCAGCTCCTCCATAAGAAAACACTCATTCCATTCCAGGATGTCATGAACCCTGGAATGGTCCTTGCCCGAAGCCTAGCCTATGCAGCTGAGGAATTTTCTCTTTCATGGCTGTTTCAGACTCACCCATAGAACCTTAAAAGCCATCTATGAGAAGAACTACAGTGAATAACAAGTCATTCACTTGTTAATTATTATTATTATTGTAGTTCTTAGTTTATTGAAAATCTGACAGCGACATGGGAAGGTTCAAACAGCTCCCTGGGGCATTTTGAAGTTAATCCTGACAGTGGGCTGAGTGACCTGCAGATGGGACAGGCTGCCAAAGTCCAGAAGCTTCAGCATCTCCTTGGTGTCAGGGATCTCTGAGACCTCCAGGACATAGTTGCCTCTCCTTCTCCTCCTCCTGCGGCTTGATGCTTTTCATGAAGCCTCCCTGGATGCGCTCCATCAGGTGCATGACAGCCCGCGATCTTGTTGCAGATCATCTTGCTGGGGATGATGGCAATTTCCTCACGCACGCGTTTTTGGTTTGGAAGTCATTGGCCAGCTGGGTCTTGTACTTCTCATTGGTGACCGTACTCTTCACGGATTTGGTGTGAACGCAGCAGATCGTGAGTCAAAGAGAAAACAGGAAGCACAAGAAGCCTGTACTTTTTTTTTTTTTTTTTTAAACTCAAGAGACAGAGACAGGAAGGCAGAAGAAGAAGAAAGTGCTTCTAGTCTACGGCCATACCACCCTGAATGCGCCCGATCTCGTCTGATCTTGGAAGCCAAGCAGGATCGGGCCTGGTTAGTACCTGGATGGGAGAAAGTGCTTATCTGCTGGTTTATTCTCCAAATATACACAATGTCTAGGACTGAGCCAAGTCAAAACTGGAAGACAGAAGCTTAATTTAATACAAATCTCCCATGTGGGTGATAGGGACCCAACCACTGGAGCCCTCTCCACTTCCTCCCAGGAAGCTGAAATTGGGAGCCAAAGCTGGGACTTGGAATCCAAGTATTCTGATATGGGATGCAGGCGTCTCAATCAGCCTCCTAAATGCTGGGTCGCACTTCTATCCTAGACCTATAAATGTGTATATATGGAATGTACTTGGAATTTATAAAAAACTACTTTATGCATAAAAGTTACCACAATGCATAAAAAAGCTCACAGTGAGATGGTAAATGCAGGCAATGATACAGTGTTTAAAATGCCACTGAGTGGAGGATGTTAGTGCTGTGGTATGAGTTAAACCACTGTCCACAACACCAGAATCCCACATAAGACTGCTGGATCAAATTCCTGCTGCTCCGCTTCTAGTCAACTTCCTGTTAATGTGCCTAAGAATTCAACACATGATGACCCACAAACACATACAGGCCCCAAGGCCCTGTACCCATGTAGGAGACCTGGATGGAGCTCCAGGCTCCTGGCTGCCACCTGGTTCAGCCTTGGCAATTGTGTTTATTTGGGAGAATGAACCAACTGATGAAACATTTCTCTCACACTCTCACTCCACCTTTCAAATAAATAACTAGATTTTTAAAAAACAATCGGCTGAGACCCTGAATCAGCTGAAAAGGGTCAGTCTTCTGGGGCTGTGGAGTTTGGGGTGCAAGGCTGGGTGGCAGGGATTTACTCTTAACAACAGAAGTGTTAAAAGGTTGTTAGGGATAAATAGTAAATTAGTGTCTAGAGGTGAGACTACTTAAACATAATAGTAGTAGGAATGCAAGAGTGCTGAGTAGTGATAAGGGGGTTTCTTAACTGTAAGCATAACCGCTATACTTGGCTTCTATAATCGTTGCTTGGCTTTGCTGCATAAAGAGCAGGACTGACGCCATGATGGGCCAAAGGTCTGGGAGCAGGCCTAAGTTTCACTTCACTTCAAAGTCTCATTTTTCTCAGAGTGATGGAGTGGGCAGCGGGAACGACCTTAGAGATGGGCCATCAGGGGCATCACACGTCTGCAAATGGCATGTAGTCTGCACTGATACGGGTTGCATGGGAATGTGGCCTAGACCGGTACAAGTTATATGTGACCAAGATAAGAACTGCTTGCTGGAGACATGTTGTATGTGACTAGGAGGGAATAAAAACAGTCTACAAGAGACAAACAGGATCCTTGTCAAGACTCCACTGTGATGGGTGAGACACGGACCCCAGCTCGAGCTAGCAATTAAGTTTCTTTGCTTTTGCATTGTTGCACGTGGAACCTGTCTGCGCGTGGTTCGGGGATCTTTTGGATCTAACAGGGGCAAGTTCTGTTGAGCTAGACGGCAGAACCACCAACAGAATGCAAGATCCGGGACAGGGAGTGGGTCCAGTAGGGAAACTGTGGACACCTCTGATGGGCTGCAACTCCCACTGGTGAGCATAAGAACCAGAACAGAGGGTGGCTTGGCTAGACAGGCAGTGGCACCTACTGGCATGAGTGTGGCCTGGAGGGTGAAATTGGTTGGGTTGAGTTAGGCTTCAATGCCCAACAATGTGTACAGAGATCTGATGAGATATGGGACAGACTGGACCAGTTCACTGCACATGTTGGCAGGCAGAGGAACCAGGGCTGGGGGCCGGCCCAGTAGGGTTACTGGGGATCATGGTGACTGTGCTGCAGCTCCCCCTGGTGTACGTGGTGGCCAAGTGTGTGTGATGAGGAGCGCTGGGCTGGGCCTCAGCACCATAGGTTTGCATAGAGGAAGCTGAGGAAGGAGGGCAGAACAAATTGATAACTACCCTAGTGAAGCTTGACAGAAAATTTCTGGGTGAATGGAAACCCTGAGGTGGATTAAGTCAGCCAATTGACCTTGAAGGATTTCCTCATCCTTTGCTATGCAAGATCAACAGCATTTCAGAACTATTGAAACCACTTGAACTGAATCCTCAGAACATGCTCCTCAATGGGGACCCTGGAATGACATAAGGTGGCCATTTCCCATCCCCAGGTCCTGAGGCGGTTGCTAGGCTGGGTGCGGTTCCTTCCCTTCCAATTACCCCGATCCCCAAGGAAGAAGAAAAGGAAAATGTGTAAGCAACAGTCTCACGCACCTTCCCCTAATTCTCAACTATGTAAATATCATCAAACATAAAATGAGTAAAAGGGTGGAGGATCCGAGTGGCTCACATCCGTATTTCGCCTCCTCCAGTCACGTACACACATTTCACATACAAACACTGCCCACGCTGATTTTTACTTAACATAGTTTTTAAAACTTAACTTATTGCAAAAATTTGACCTTATGCACCCACGAGGGAGGCCAGAAACAGGTTCTTCAGCTCCTGGCTTCAGATCAGCTCAGCTCCAGACTTGGAGGCCTTAGGGAAGTGAATTATTGGATGGAAGAGTCTCTCTCTCTCTCTCTCTGTAAATCTACCTGTCAAATAATAGTAATAGTAAATCTTTAAAAATACACTCAAGACAGAAAACTTGGTTTTGTTTATCAGTTGATTTATCCAGCATCAAATTACATTTCAATAAAAAAACCAATAAGGACAAGTATACCGGAGGGCAAAAGAAAATACTTGCAAAAATTCTATGCATTGTTCACTGAAAATTCTTGCATAAATAAGAGGAAGAAAAGCTACCACATTCTCTCAAGACTGTTCATCTTTTCACAGTTGTAACTGAACCTGAAGTTAAGGACAGCTTTTCATGTTAAATGTCTTTGGGCATGCTTGGGATAACTTGAACATGTAAAATGTTTAACATGACAATTCAGGTTTTGTCACTTGTTAATGTGGCTTATTAAAGTTGGGTTGAAAGCAACATTTCCCCTAACTTCTTGCAACAAAATCAACTTTTTTTTTTTTAAGATTTATTTTTTTTCTCTCTTCTTTTTTATTATTATTATTATTATTATTTTATTACATTGCATCATGAGACACAGTTTTACAGGCACTGGGATTCCCCCCTCCCCTCCCCAAAACCCGCTCCCCCCCCCCCATGGTGGATTCTTCCATCTTGTTTAGAGCCTTACAATTTTACAATTCTTTGATGTAGATCAGAAGCAGTCTACTCATATCGAAAATCAACTTTTTTTTTAAAGATTTATTTTTATTATTTTTGTATTGGAAAGGCGGTTATACAGAGAGGAGAGACAGAGAGGAAGATCTTCCGTCCGATGATTCACTCCCCAAGTGAGCGCAACGGCCGATGCTATGCCGATCCGAAGCCAGGAGCCCCTTCCGGGTCTCCCACGCGGGTGCAGGGTCCCAAAGCTTTGGGCCGTCCTCGACTGCTTTCCCAGGCCACAGGCAGGGAGCTGGAAGGGAAGCGGGGCTGCCGGGTTTAGAACCGGCGCCCATATGGGATCCCGGGCATGCAAGGCAAGGACCTTAACCACTGCGCCACCGCGCCAGGCACAACAAAATCAACTTTTAACTCCATTTTCTATAAACTTCTTTTCTAAAAATAAAGCTTCTTCTTTAAAAATAAAGCTTTATTTCTTATTTTTATTGCAAGGCAGATTTACAGAGAGAAGGAGAGACAGAAAGATCCTTAACTCACTGTGCCACAACATCCACTTCCAGGTCATTTGTCTATTCCCTTTAAAACAAGAATTTCTTGCATCTCACACACAAACTCATTATTATCCCCTCAAACAGCCCAACAACTCCACACCTGCCTTTCCTAGTTCTCTTAACACCCTCATCTCCATTCAGCTCTTCCTGGAGAATACAGTGGTGACATCCCTCACTGCTTTTAGAGGAGGTTGGTGAACAAACAATTGTGGTTAAGCACTACACTAGTGATAGGAGTCCTTTATATCTCTAGAACAAAGTTGAGTGTGTGTTAGTAGTGACGAAGGGAATAAATGTGAGGCATTGCCGAGAGAGAAAAAGGTTAGGCTTGTTTGCAAATTGCTTCGACAAGGTGGAGTTGGCCAACTTTTGCTGCTGAATGCATGTGAACAAAAGTTGTCTCACATTTCAGAATTCACTCTCAGCACCATGAAAGGTGGCAAAGTCTCCCCTAAAATAGAAAGGAATCCTGGAAGTGGGGGACGCGGGGTAACAGAAAAATTATTATTCAGTGTGTATGTCAGCAGCGTTCCATTTAGTGATATAGGTGTTTTTCCAAGAGGGTCCAGGTTTTTAACTTCAAAGAACTTCAGCAGCTTATCTTCAAGTGCCAGACAAAAGAGCATTCTCTGATCACTTAGCAGAACCTTCCTGCCCCAGGCGCACACCTCACCCCTCTGGTCTCTGCTCTACTGTCCTCTTCATCAGAAAGAACATCTGATATAAAAATAACACATCCACCCACCACCACCCTGATTCTGTGTTTTGTGCTTTTTAGGCAAGCACAACACATACAAGAGAGAAAACCCACAAAATATTTCAGCAGCTCACCGAATCTTCCCTCCAAACATTTGTGGAATGTCAGCTTCAGGAAGCTTCCTTCTTACTCACTTCTTTCTTCCCAGTTTGTAATATTACAGATTTGTTTGGCCTGTTTTTATAGATGTATGAGGTTTATAATAATACAAATTTTTATTATTATAATTATAAACCTAATAAGAAACTCATAAACCTAAACTAGTTTTATTTTACTTTACTGTTTTGTAAGTTTTTCTTGCCGGAAAATGTTCAGTCTTGCAGGTTGTCCGGCCAAGTCCTGCTCCATGGGCCCTTCACCCATGACGTTCCTGACCCTCCAGCTGCCCTCTTGGCCTTCCACATCCCACCGTCGCAACCCCACCGGCCCCTCCCCAGGACCCATCCGGGGATCCCTCCTTGGCCAAGAGAGGTGGATGGAGGACAACTGAGTTCCTCACCGCCTGGGATGGCCCATGTGCTCGGTCCCCAGTCACCCAACGGGAGCCAGGGCTGGCCTCTGGGCTCCTGGCGCAGCGGGCGAGGCTGTCTGGGGAGTGAATACTAGTGGGTGCAAGATCTCGCTCTCTTTGTCATTTTAAAAAATACACATATATAAATATATTTATATTTGTTATATATATATATATATTTTTTAATTGGAAAGGCAGATATACAAAGAGGAGAAGCAGAGAGAAAGATCTTCCATCTGATGATTCACTCCCCAAGCGACCGCAACGGCTAGAGCTGAGCTGATCCGAAGCCAGGAGCCAGAAACCTCTTCAGGGTCTCCCATGCAGGTGCAGGGTCCTAAGGCTTTGGGCCGTCCTCGACTGCTTTCCCAGGCCACAAGCAGGGAGCTGGATGGGACGTGGGGCCGCCAGGATTAGGACCAGGATTCCGGTCCTAAAATATGGGATCCCGGTGCATGCAAGATGAGGACTTTGGCTGCTAGGCTACCACGCTGGACCTTCTGCTTTATAAATAAATTTTACAAAAAGGTTGTTGGTAATTTTTGTGAGAGTTTTTATTTTATGATTATTTTTAAATTTTAAGCAGCGTTTGAATAACTTTTCCCATGTACTTTACAATCTCTCAGGAACAAAGGCTAAAACCTACGGGACGACTCTACCCTGGCCACTAGTAGGCAGTGTAAGGCAGGTGGACAAGGGACTCACCGGCGCGCGCATGCGCACACCCACAGCCCCGCTCCATTGGGGCGCTTCCAGCAGCGACCAATCCGCGCGGCTGATTCAGTTTGATGACGCAGCCACGCTCCAACCACGCGGGGGGCGGGGCGGAGCACGTGACCCGGGCCTGGAGCCGGAAGTCTCCGCGGCACCTTTGGCAGGCGGCTTGCCCGGCTCCTAGAACTGCGATGGTGAGTGAGGGCGCATGCGCAGGAGGGAGCGCCCCGGGCCGGTGTCCTGCTCCCCTGGCCTTTGGTTGCCCCCTCCCGGATCCGTTCCTTGTCGCTCACCTCCCGTCGGCCCCAAAACGGAGAGGGAACGAGGGAGGGGAAGCACAGTGGCGCGGAGGGCTGGAGGAGGGATCCCCGGGTGGGTGTTCAGGGTCCTGGGGAGGGGCCGGTGGGGTTGCGACGGTGGGATGTGGAAGGCCGAGAGGGCAGCTGGAGGTCGGGAACGTCATGGGTGAAGGGCCCAGAGGGAGCCTGGAGCCGTGGTCCAGGGACTTGGCCGGACAAGGATGTGGAGGGCCCCGCGCCCCAGCTCCCTTCTCACTGCCTGCATCTTTACCCCGCAGACGTCTGCACTGACCCAGGGGCTGGAGCGAATCCCAGACCAGCTGGGCTACCTGGTGCTGAGCGAAGGTGCAGTGCTGGCGGTGCGTTCTGGGAAAGGGAGGGAGGGTCCCCGAGCACAGCTGGCCGTTTGGCTTCCCTTGTCCCCTGTTCTGGGCCTTTGACTAGGAATCCTGCCTGGCAGAGGAAGCTTTCAGTTCTTGGTCGGTTTTGGGTCTGTCCTCTGCTTTGCACTGAAACAAGTTCCCATGTCACATGACTTCGTTTCTGCATAACTTTCTCTCTAGTGGCTCTTATTCCGTGGCACTGAATGGGGATAGCTCTCTCTGGACCCGTTTACTCTAGGTAGAAATGCAAGGCTTTGGCTATAAGGGTGAAAACAATGTGGCCACGCCTTACTGAGGGAGCTGAGATGGATTCAGCTGTGTAGGGCAGCTTTCTAGGAGATGTGCAGCCCAGCTTACAGGAAGGACGGTCGTAAACCAGCAGAGTATTCAGCGTGGGGAAGTGCACGCCGCCTGGCTCCTTCCTGAGGAGGGTTTGTGTTGAAAAGATTTAGGAGGGAGACCAGAATGAAGTGAAAGGGTCCCACTGGGGAGGCTTCAAGGCCACGATGCTAACCCCTTTGGACTTTACCTCGAGAGTCGTGGAGACCGTGATGATTTTCCACAGAAAGCTGACTCAGTGAAGATGGCTGAGCAGAATTATTGTGTTGGTGTGAACAGAGTGCTGGCAGCGGGGTGCTGAATCTGGGCTGGTGGTGGAGGAATCTGCATCCTGGCAGTGACTGGGTGACTAAGGAGGCCTGACTGGATACAGAATAGCAGTGAACAGCAGCTGTTCTGGTTCAGTGGAAGCCTCGCCAGCCTGTAAACAGTGGTTGTCTCAAATTGACAGATGAGAAATCTTAGGTACAGAATGTCAAAGGACCGAGGGAACTAAAAGTCACCGAGTGGGGGCTTCTGTCAGCTCGGCAGGAGGAAGTGGAGACTCACTGGAAAAGGGGAAGTCATGGCAACCGGGAGGGAGGGGGTAGGTGTTGGGGAGCAGGCATGGGTGTAGGTCAGAAAAGCTGTGACAGGTCAGTGGCCAGTTGCTGATTCTGGAGAATGTGTGTGTCAGATGGGTGGAACAGGGCAGACAGTCCAGGTCCAGGGTGCTAGAGGAAGGCCCAGTGTAGCAGGATGGCACCGTTACAGGCAAGTCCTAGGGCCTTTCATTTGGCAGATAGACAAGGGAAATGTCAGGGAGATATACAACGTGCAGGAGACAGAGGGGGCAGGCCTGGGACTTCAGTCCAGGTCTGTGCCTTCACCGCTGCCACCCACCCTCCTGCTCCGTGTACAGTCATCCGGGGACCTCGAGAACGATGAGCAGGCAGCCAGTGCCATCTCCGAGCTGGTCAGCACGGCCTGTGGCTTCCGGCTGCACCATGGCATGAATGTACCCTTCAAGCGTCTGTCTGGTGAGCCCCCGCTCCTGCCTGTGGGGGTGGGGGTACTTGCAGGGGCTTCTTAGGGAAGAACCCCATCTCCTTCCCACCATCCCACACCTGGTCCAGCTACTTCCTTCCCCTGAGAACCGAGCTCTGACGAAGCAGCATTCAGAAGGGATTGAACACACAGGCCTTTCGTCTTCCGATCCCAGCCTCGTTTGTGTGCAGCCCCATGGCGGCCGTGGCACACACTCACTCTGTGTTCCCTTCCCTCCCCTGGGGCGGGGGAAGGTGTGTCTTCCCTCCAGTGGTCTTTGGAGAGCACACGCTGCTGGTGACCGTGTCGGGACAGAGGGTGTTTGTGGTGAAGAGGCAGAACCGAGGCCGGGAGCCCATTGACGTCTGAGCCCACCCAGGCGTGAGGGTCCAAGCAGTGGATGGGGGCCGCTGGCCATGACGTGGCTGATGCTCGAGTCCTCTGCCTCCCTCTTGGCTTACTGCTAGAACCAAGGTCTTTTGCTCAGCCACCTCCCCACGCCTACCTGGAAAGGCGGCAGACCCGAGATTGCGGTGTTTAGGAGGCTCGCAGCAATGGCGTCTCCGTTGTTCTTCCCTCCCTCCCAATAAACTTGAGTTTCCTGTTCTTAGGCCTGGGGATGTGTGCCTGGTCGGGGGAGGCTATAACAGGATGGGGGATCTACACCCAGGTCTGTCTGCTGCTGTCCATGGTTACTGCTGGATACCTTAGCCCAGAGTGGTGGCCACCTCGGTGTCTGTTGGGCAGTAGGTAGGGCATGGAGGCCTTTGAAGGCTTGTGGGAGGGAATCCTTCTATGCCCCTGGAGTCTCTGCACCTTCCAGCAACACACACAACCATTCTGCTCCCTCCTGGACAGTCATTTAATAGGCTCACTTCAGTTGGAAGTAGTGGTTGGAGAATAAGTTACAGGGACCAAGGAAAATAAAAAGGCAAAAAAAGAAAAAAAGAGAAAAAAACAAAAAACCACAACTTAAAGTGCTTCAGGCTGGCTGCCAACGTAAACATGAGGGGCAGGAGGAGGCCACCTCACTGTCTCCCCAGCCCCTGAGACAAGAGAGTCATTGTCAAGGCCCCTTACCATCACCACCCTCTAATGTGGGCCCTCTGAGTGGGAGGGAGGGAGTGTCGGGGGGCAAGAAGGAACAGGAGAATGAGAAAATACCTTGTAAACGTAGAACCAGGGTGGGGTGGAGGCAGGGGAGCTCCTGGCGCCCTTGCCCTGGCCTGGGGTGGGACCGGCCCCCCAGGTCCTTGGGCAATACTATTGGCTTAATGCTGTGGCCACACGGGCCAGTTCCCGCCTCGCCCTAGGCCCTGGTCAGCAGACACAGACAAGCGGCCCCATGGGGCCTCTCTGTCCACCCTGGGAGGCATCCCAGGGCAGCCGGGGCCCTGCAGCGCCTCAGGCTTCTGGAGTGTAAGCGGGGGCAGAGTTGCACAGTGCTACTTGACGGGCTCCACCACCAGGACCTTGCACTCGCGCTTGGCAATCTTGTCCAGAGAGAGCACAGCCTTGTCTGGGGGCAGGTAGAGAGGGCGGCCCACGGGGGAGGCCACAGGGGGCGTGATTGCCCGTCGCTCCATCACGCTGCCAGACCTGAGAGAAGGTACCAAGAGGCCATGGGCCATGTTCAGACCCTCGCCCATCCCCATGCCCAGCTGTTGGCCAGTGTCGTGCCCAACCCAATACTGTACCTCATGAGGTGGCTGCGGGAAGGCTGTTGGTGGGAGAAGGACTGAGAGCGACCCAGGCTGGCCTGGTGTCTCTCCACCAGGTCCCGGACGGCAGGGCTGCTAGGGCTACTCTTGCGGGACAGGGGCCGGGCCTCGGGCGGCGGGTGGGACACACTGGCAGTGAACTGCAGCTTCAGCTTCATGTGCTGGCTCAGCTGGGGAAGGGGGCACATCAGCCTGGTGGCCTGACCACCAGGGCCTACACCTCCTCCTGGGTGACCTGTGGGTCACCGTGCTTGGTTTTCTAGTGTAGGCCCTGATGTCTTCCCACCACAGAAGCAAGGGCCCTGACTCCCCCCACCCCAGCATCCCACGGCACCAGCTCACCTCAAAGAGCCCTGCCCTCAGCGCCTGGAAAGCCACACTGAAGGTGAGTGCGCTGCCCTTGCGGGAGAAGCCCAGGTTGTTGAGGGGCGTGTGACAGACAATGGAGTCCAGCGCTGCCTGCATGGCCCGGCGCTCCTCCTCACACAGCTGCTTTCCTGGGGGCGGAAATGGGGACCAGTCAACCCTAGACAGCATGCCTCTGTTCCCAAGGGAATTTCACTGTTTCATGGGATCCTCGTAAACTGAAAAAAGTGTTGGCTTTTGCCAGCAGTCATATATGATAAGCATAGTGATCCATTTGTCCTCTTTTAGAGAGACTGGGCCCAGAGAGGTTAGGTAACTAGCCTAGGATCACACAGCCAGCACATGAGAGATGGAACTCACACCAGAGGATGATGCTTCTGTGTCTGCACTTAAGGTCGTGCAACCACACAGACCGCAGCAGCGCAAGCCCCTCTGCCTCTCAGCCCCATGATGCTGAGGAGAGCATCCAGGTCCAGGGCCCCAGCCAGCTGCCACACGCCTCGTGCGGCAGTGGGGCTGGCACCAGGTCTGAGCTGCATCTACCGGCTTCCCTCTACAATTTCATCCGTCCCTCCCATTCTGGGACGAGGCCCCAGCCGGGCAGCTGACCCACCGGCCTGTGCGTGCTCTGGGGTCCACACGAGCCTCACAGCAAGGAAGTCTTGCAGATTGTTGAGTAGCGTGTAGGTGACAGTGAAACGCTCGTAGGTCCGAACGGGGGACTCACAAGAAGCGGTCATCACAAAGCATGGACGGTCCAGTCGGACACTGGGCAGGCTGGGAGCGCAGTGAGAGAGGGCAGCCGTGAGGGCGTGGGAGGCAGCAGGGGTGTGGGGGATGGTGCCTGGCTGGGAAGCCTGCACACTCACCGGTAGTGGGTGTAGATGCTCTGGGTGAACGGCAGCTTCGGGGTGGACCACTGGACCACAGCAATCAGGGGAACCTCCAGGCCCTGTGGAAGGGGCCAAGGGAACCGCCATGTGTCAGTGTCCCCTCCTGGCTCTCCTCAACCCCCCCACCTTCACCTCCCTCTCCCATTTTTTCATTCTTTTCCCCTCAACACACCCATGCTTGCACTCACCTCCTTGGCCCCTGGAGGGGGCTGCTCATCCCCTCTCAGTTGAAACAGGAAGTTGTGTTCTTCCAGGGCACTGAGTGAGCAGGGGAAACAGCCAGAGGTGCTGGGCAGCCGGCAGAAGGAGCCCATGGAGACCTCCCCAGACTGGTGACTGGTTCCGAGGGGCAGAGAACAGAACGTGATGCCCCCAGCCTGGGCTCACCCTGCCCCCCACCCCTGTCCCACCCAGGGACCTCACCACACGTTGTCCACCAGCAGCACGGAGCCATCGGGCATGACAGGTAGATAACTGGCGTTGAAGTTGGGGAGGATTCGGACATCCCAAATGGAGATCTCCTCCTGGGAGGAGCTGTTGAGCACTGTGGGAGGTAACCAGGCCCACTCAGAACGGTCAACTCTGAAGGAAAGGAACTGATTCCCACCTGCCCCCAAATTACTGCCACCCCTGGCCCGCCACCCCAACTTGAGCCGGCTGGTCTGCTCACCCTTGAGCACTGTCAAGTGCTTCCCAGCCACAGTGAACTGCCGGCATCTCAGAACGGGAGGGGGCAGCAGAGTCAGCAGGGTGCTCACTGCAGGAGAGGGAGAGATGAGGAGGAAGGTCTGGCGTGGCCTCGCCTCCCACCCGCAGCTCTCACTCTCTTCTCCACCGCACCCCAGCCCCCAGCCTCTTTCCCGTGTGTTCTCCTCCCACCTTGGGCCTTGAAGGCGCTCTGCTCCCCCCGGAAGGTCTCCCCAGGAGACCGGGTCTGCAGCAAGCGCAGGTAGCCTTGGTCTCTGACCTCGGGTGCCTCCACCTCCCGCTTCCACACGGTCACTACAATCTGGACAGAGGGGACACACGGGACCCCGAGTCAAGAGTCGAGACAGACAGAAGGCGCAGCCTTTCTTGATAGGGCGTCTGAATTCGGGTGGCTCTTACCTTGGCCTTCGGTGTCCCTGGGGGCAGTCTATCCAGCGAGACAGTGAGTGGGAAGATGACCTCATCTGTGGACACGATTGGTTCCTCCACAGGCAGCTGGGATGGTGGAAGGCGGTGAAGAGGTCAGGGAGGGACCACGGTGGTCCCTTTAACATGCGCATAGCCTGTCTTCCCCACCCCCGTCTCCCCACCCCAGCTCCTCACCGTGGTCGCTCCCCCTGAGGTAGCAGGGCCCGGGCCATGGGTGAGAAGGGGGCTGCAGCCTCGGAACACACCCCCTCCACCTCCGGGATCCCCTCCTCCCGGGGGCTCGGGATCCTGGTCGCCGGTGCCACCGCCCCCCGACACTCCACCTCCGGCGCTGACCGAGGCCAGGGCGGCCAGGGCGGTGGCCAGTTCTGCCCAGGCCCCTCGGGAACCAGGGCCTCCTCCGGCGTTGGAGCCCGCGCCGCTCCGGCAGCGCAGCACCAGCAGGAAGCGGACAGTCTCCCCCAGGTAGAGATGATTGCGGCGGGGCAGCGCCCGGTACCGGCCCGGGTCTCCCGCCAGCTCGGCGCGCGGCGGCAGCGGCACAGCCGGGAAGTACATCGAGTAGTCACACTGGGACTCCATGGAGTGACGAGGACGGGGACGCGGCGGAGGAGGACAGGGGGCCCCGCTGGGGTCGGGGCAGGAGCGGCCCACAAGATCGGTCCGGCCCGGGGGGACCCGGAACCGCGGACCCCGCGACACCGAATGACTGGGGAGAGACCGGAAGCGGAAGGGAGGGGGCGGGGCCTCCGGCGTCCCGGCCTCTGGGTGGCCGCGCAGGGAGGCGAGGGCGGGCGCCGGGCTGCGCCTGGACGCAGGCAGGGATGAGGGAGGAGACCCGGCGATGGAAAGAATTCCTTGCACCTTTCCTGGTCCCGAGAGCTTTTCTGCAATTCCCTCCCCCTTCAGCCGTCCGCAAGCCAAGTGGAAGTTTCAAGTTATTTATTCATTTAACAAACATTTGGTAGTGCCCAGTAACAAATCTTTACAACTCGTCAGTTTCCAAAGGGCTCACTCCATCTTTTTTGCTTCTCCGGAGGGATGGCAGGAGGAAAGGGGCTGGCTTTTGCAGAGTACCACCAGGACCTGCGTTGGGACAGTGAGTGGGTGAGGGCAGTCCTGCTGAGAGCCCTACGGAGGGTCCTCTGTGGGCAAAGGCTGGAAGATGACCGGAGCCTTGCAGACATCAGGACAAAGTTCTGTCCAGTCTGCACCTGACTGCTGCACTCAGCACCCGTGCCCCCTGCTAACTTAAGGGCTCTTACCTGGGGGATCTCTAGAGGTGTCTATGGGGCCAGTAGCCTGGCTGTCTTGAGGGGCACCGAGACCGTAGGGGGAAATTGCTTGGCAGCCAGCTTGTCTTTGTACTGGAGTTCAGGGGTGGCCAGGCGTTCACACTCCTCCTGGTCACCGGGGCTCAGCCCACTCCGAAGTCTGTAGCCTAAAACCTTGGCTGACCCAAACTGGAAGGGGCGGAAACGCCGGTCAGAGATGTATTTGGGGTCTAAAGCCTCACCCCCTTCAAGGCAACGTTTAGCTAGGGCCTCCCGGCGGGCCCTGAGCTGGGCCACAGCGCCCTCCAGACGGTTCTGGCCATACTGTTCTATCCGTGCCCACAGGCTGCGGTTGAAGTGGACATAGAGAGCCCAGTCCAGGTGGTTCCAGGCTCGGGCACGAGCGGTCAGTTGGCGCTCCTCAGCCGTCTGTCCACCGTTGCCAGCAGCACCGTGTCCCTGCTCACCTCCAGCCTGGGCATTGTGCACAAAGCCTACCACATCATCCAGACCCCAGCACAGGGCATCCGCCAGTAAAACCAATGACTCGTCAAAGTACTCTGCCACCATGACCAGGTCAAACACAGAGTCTAGCCAAGCCAGACCCCACTGGATGAACGACAAGGACCCCGAGTCTGATGAGGCAGGGCTGGCGGTCCGGCCGTGACCCTCAGCGACAGTGGAGATGGGTTGGAAGACAGCACTGAGGTCCTTGTTCTGAGCTTGAGGGCCAGCGGCAGAAGGCAAGCTGTGCAGCTGGGGGCTGGGGAGAAGAAGATTCTTTCTCTTGGTCCTCATTTCAGGGGGGAAAGGGAGGCCAAAGTCAAACCACAGTAAGTTGCGGGCGTAGTGGTCCCCACGGGCCCCGGGCCGGTAGAATGCCCGAGGATTAGCCAGGAAGGCAGCCAAGGATGGCGCTTTGCGAAAGGCGGACGAGGTAGACTTGTAGTAGGAGAAGGCCGAGCGGGCCAGGGCCGCAGGGTCTCGGACGATGGAAAAGAAGAAGCTGTCAGAAGGCATGACCTGAAGTACCTGCAGAGGACCCAAAGCAGACAGACAGACAGAGCTGGGCTGGGGGGAAGGTAGACACTGGGGATGCTCAGCCTCCTCGCAGCCTGACTGGGGACACCCCTCTGAGCTTTCCTTCCTTTAACTGCCTGGCCTTGAGCAAGTTACTTAACATCACAGACTCAGTGTGCTTATCTGCAAGGTGGGGCTCTTCCCTTGGCCTTGGTCTGTAAAAATCCTCCAGAAGCCAAACTCGATGCTCTCCTTACCAGCAAAGACAGTGTTATCCTCTGCTCAGGAACTGTTTGGTCAGGACTTCAAGGCAGGAACCAGGGGCCAGCCTTGTGGCTAACCAGGCTAATCCTCTACCTGCAAGTGCTGGCATCCCATATGAGTGCTGGTTTGAGTCCTGGCTGCTCCATTTCCCATCCAGCTCTCTGTTTATGACCTGGGAAAGCAGTGGAGGATAATTCAAGTCCTTGGGCCCCTGCACTCACATGAGAAACCCAGAAGAAGCTCCTGGCTCCTGGCTTTAGATGGGCTCATCTCTGGCCATTGCAGCCATTTGGGGAGTGAATCAGTGGATGGAAGATCTTTGAACAAAGAAACAAACAAAAATAGGAAGGACTACTGTTGGGAGAGGGGCAACCATCACAGGCAACCAAAACATGATAGGGAAGAGTAACAATAGGGTTGTCCTAGCATGTGAGGACATCGGTGGGCAGGCTGGGCCAAAGGTGGCTGCAGTACCAGGCATTTTTGAGGCTCCTAGGGCATGCTGGAAAGCAAATGATACCCCCAGAATGGGACGCTGGGAAGCCATGGCTTTTTTGCCCCTAGGACTGGGATATGTGGTTGGACTTCTCAGTGAGAACAGCAGTGGACATCAGGCTGAGCCACATGAGAAAGTATCCCCTGGACTGCCCTGTGAACTGCCTCATAGAAGACCAACAGGAACTGTGAAGAGAACGCTTGGTCTATGGCCATCAGATGGCCTTGAAATAAACCCCAAATCTGCTGTGTGCTAATTGTGTGCCTCTGGGCAGCTGGTTGAATTTTAGTGTCTTTATTCCCTGGGCCCCATTTGCAGATCGTGGTCAACATGGAAGAAAATGGGCCTACCTGAAACATAGTAGATTCTCAGTGAATAATGGTGACAGTTCAAGCACTGTATTTTAGCCACTAGAGAGATGGACCGTAGAGTTGTGCCCTGGCTCCCAGCTCCAGTAAGAGGGGAAGATGAGGGGTGTGTGTGTGTGTAGGTGGTTGTAGCACTCACTGGAATTCTGCTACCTTCATACACTCTTTCTCATATACATCTTTGTCAGTGCTTTGCTCCCTCTGAGAATGCCCCATTGTGTCTCTACAAAGCCACATCTGCCCTTCCTGTCAAAAGTAAACTTTCTAGGGCCGGGTGCGATAGCCTAATGGCTAATCCTTGCCTTGCATGCACCAGGATTCCATATGGGGGCCGGTTCATGTCCCAACTGCTCCACTTCCAATTCTAGCTCCCTGCTTATGGCCTGGGAAAGCAGCAGAAGATGGCCCAAAGCCTTGGGACCCCCTAAACCTGCATAGGGCACCCAGAAGAAGCTACTGATTCCTGGCTTTGGATTGGCTCAATTCCAGCCATAACAGCCACCTGGGAGGAGTAAACCAGCACATGGAAGATCTTTCTCTGTGTCCCTCCTTTTCTCTGTAAATCAGACTTTTCAATAAAAATAAATAATTTTTTTAAGCAGCAACCTTTCTAGAAACCCCTCCTTTTTTGGCGGGAACTCTTCCCCCACGAGTCCAAATATAAACATGTGCATGCGCCAGGGGAGGAGCTGTAACTTTAGAGCAGGTGAATCTGGGTTCAAATCCCAGTGCAGCTGCCTTCGGTTAACAGAGATCACTTGTTTCAATGGAGTAAAAGCTCTTCCATTCTAGTATTCAGAAAATATTCAGTCAAGCCTAGCTCCTGTCCTGTATGTTGGTTTTTCCTCCTATAGGTGCGTGTCTGCGTGAGTGCACAAGTCCATGTGTTCACCTCCCCTAGACTAAGGCCTGCGGCTCCTGGTGTGTGGAAGGGGATGGGGTCAAGACCAGCCCTCCCTCCCTCAGTACACCACCCCTCACCTCTTTTAGGTTGAATCTCATGTGGTGACAGAGGATGTGGAAGGGGGTCTGGCCGCCCACCTTGTCCTGGGGATGGTAGCCTTTGACCCGAGAAGCCTGGAAGAGTCTTGGGTAGCCAAACTGGTAGCGGTCCGGGAGGGCAAAGTGCAGTCCGTGCCGGTCTCCGTAACGATGAAGCAGGTTGAGCACAGAGCTGCTCCCAGATTTATGTGTCTTCAGGAATACGAGTCGCTGCCGGGGCAGGCAGGACGCAGCAGCTGGCTGCGGGGAGCGGGCCCAGGGCTGTCGGAGCTGTAGCCCGGGGAGCCTGGGAAGAGATGGAAGGTGGAGGGGCTAGACCCTCAGTAACAGGTGACTGCTTATTGTAGCGAAAGCACAGCCGGCATGGAGCATCCTCCAAGACCCCTAGGAGCCACAGCCCTAGGTGGGATGGGAAGGAGCAAGTGGGGGGACATCAATCAGGAGGTGGGGATGAGAGGGGAACTCACCTCCTCTGGAAGGGCCCGCCCCAGAGCTGGAGGGCAAATCCGATGGTCATGAACACTCCCAGAGCCACCCCCAGGCTTCGAGGCCCCCAGAGCCGCATGGTCCTGATGGATGTCAGAGGACCCATGTGGCACAGGAGAGGGATGGAACCAGGCCCAAGAGCAGAGGCAGACAGCTTGAGGTAGCCGTGCAGCCGTGGAAGGCACCGATGGGAGCTCGGGGGTCATTCCCCAGGCCTGCTCGCAGCCCTGGTTGAGTCTGCCCCCTGAGTTAGCAGATTTTTGCCTCTGTCAGCGTCTAGAAGGGAAATGAAGGGGGGGAAGGAGGGGAGTCTCAGAGACTGTTCGCTGAAGCTGAGGCGTAATTTAGAGAGGGGACGGGGATGGGGGTCCCTTATACCTAGATCCTTTTAGGGGATTCTCTGGCTCCCCAACTTGCTCTCTGTGCCGTCAGTCTCTTTCTTACTTCTGCTTTTCCCAAATTACCCTTCCCACACACAGTTCTCACAGAATTGCCAAGATTTACAAGAGGAGAAAGACAGAGACTCTGATCATGAACCAAACAGCCAGCCAGAGAGATCAGACTCCTTGAGGCAGGTCAGGACATGGTCTGGCCCTGGGGCTTTCTCCGGAGCCCCTTTGGCTGACACTGGGGGAATCAGGAGCCTTCCTCCAGAGGCAGGCAGGGTCAGGTACCTTGAGAAAATGTGGGTCAGATAGTATGCAGGTCAGGGCTCCCAGGCAGGAAGGAGTTTGGACTCAGATGCATCCGGAGTCCAGAGCCACTGCGGAGGCAGTGTAGACAGAGTCATCTCCCTCCCCTTGCTCAGCATGGGGCAGACTCCCAGTGGTGGGAGGCCAGCTCCCTGGACACACTTTCCAATCCCATCGTTGCACCTGGAGGGGACTGCGGAGGTTCAGTTGGGGAGAAAGAGGTAGAGGAAGAGAGACAGCGGCAGGGGGAGACGCCAGGAGATCAACATCAAAGAAGCCCAAGCACTGAGAGCGGATTCCCAGGGTAGAGTCTGGCCCCACCCCTTCAGATCTCAACTGGCAATCCCAGACCAGGGCCCCCTCCAGCAAGCCCAGATACCTCCACCCTTCGCCAGGCGAGCCAGAGGTGATCCCCGGGAAGAGGAGAACCCATCCTGGCATCACTCCCAATTCCCTCCACCAGCACAGCAGAAGGGGAATCCAGCTGCAGGACTCCCTTATTGTGAATCCTTCATTTCCTCCCATCCATCTCTATTTCTCCGCGCACCCCCCCCCCCACCGCCTCTGTCCCCTCCAGTTTGGGTAATTACTGTCTCCAGCCTTTTGTGGGTCCCCTCTGGGGTTTCTGGGAGCCCTTCCAGTCTCCTCCTGCAGATCCAAACGTTCGTCCGTCTGCCGGCCCCCAGCCTCAGCTGCGCTTGCCCACTCACCAAACCTCAAGGGGAGCAGCAGGGAAATCGGGTCAGGCCTACCCGCCCGCCAGCCCCGGCCACCGCCCAGCTCCTCCGCAGCTCGACTTTCCCCACAAACTTTCTCAGCAGCCAGGCTCCTCCCCTCCCCTCCCTTTGTCCCGCCAGGCCGGCAGCTGCTTCGCTTTGATCGCCTCTCTCCCAGTCTCTCCCGCCCTGCATCTTTTCTCTCTCAGCCAGCTCTTGAAGACAGCACATTCCTCCTCCTGTCTTACTTAGGAATCCATTATACCTTTCTCTCCCTTTCTGCCCAACAAAAGAGTCATTCAGGTGTGAATGAGAGGGAGGAAGATTGATTGAAAGCAGGTATTGTCAGGGATGTAACCAGGTAGTTTGACCCAGAAAACAAGGGTGTCATGTCCCTGCTCCCCTCTAAGGCAAGGGTCAGTGGTGTGGTAACTGACATGCCCCCCGTCCCTGGGCTTTCTGTTTGGTCCCCACAATGCTTCCTGTTGGATGGGTGCGGATGCTCGGATGCTCTGCTTCAGAGGGCGAGTACCTTGGAGGCCTCCTGGTGCCTGCTCTCAGTGGCCAGGCTGAGGGAGGTGAGGCGCAGACACACACAGCAGAGTGACAATGAAGGCACAGAAAGCACACACTGGTCCCGTAAGTCCCATTTATTTGATTGATAGACATGGACTTGGAACACTGAATTGCGGCACAAAGCTTGTGACGTTGATGGCGGTGGTCCCAAGATGAGCCCTCTGATGCTGGAAGAAACCTCGGAGGAACCCGAGAACTTCACATCCTACTCACCCCGCTTCTCCCCCCACCAGTCCCTGCTGGCACCCAGGCAGCATCCACCTTGCCCCCTTCTGCCATCAGGTGCCCCGGCCCCGCAGCACTCCACCCTCCCCACTTCTACCTTCCTTCAAACCCCATTCCCCAGCTGCAACTATAAGCACTCCCCCACACCCCACCCTTTCCTCCCTTGTAGAGGCTGATCTTCAGCCCTAACCTCAGGGGCTGCAAGCCACACCTCCTTTCTAAATAAATAGTCCAGCCTCCTCCTCCCCTCCAGACCCAGGTACCAAATGAAAAAATAAATACTGTCAACCACCCCCCCCCCACCTACCCCACCCCGCCCTCACCCCATGATGGAAATCTGGATTGGGGCCCCAGCCATTCACCAGTAAAGTTCCTTTTCTCACCCTCTCTGCCACCCATCCCAGACGTCCCCGAGACCTAGCCCAGCCAAGGGGAGGGGAAAAAGGTGTCCGACCTTTTCAATGCCAGGGCACCCCTACCCTGTTACCGTGGTCCCAGCAGGGCCAGGGCTGAGGGCAAGAGGAGGAGAGCTGGTTGGCTGTGAAAAGCAAAAGACATCCCCTCACTGCTGCTCCTGCCCTGGTTGTAGCGGGCACTGCCCCCTCCTCTGTTCCCCGGACCCTCCCTTCGAGGAGGGAGAAGAGGCCGGCCTAGGGGGGCCAGAGGCTCAGGCCCAGCCTTCCAGTCATCCGCATAGTGCTGGCCCCCTCCAGAGCCGCTGGCATCCTCATCTGTGGGGAGATGAAGGGAAGAGAGGTGCAAAGAGGGACTGTGATTAGACGGCGAGCAGGAAGGATGATGAGGAGACAGGGCGGACACACAGGCCAGGTGGGAGAAAGCCAAGTACCCAGAAGCCAATCTGATGGGCAGAGGGTGGGGAGGAGTGACAAAGGGAAAGGGGGGAAATGAGCACCTGTGCTGGCAAATTCTACCCTGGGGAGTTGGCCCACTGTCACTTGGGGCTGGCTGTCCTCATTCTTTCCCAGCCTCTGCCTAATCTAAGAAGCTGCCCCCTGCTGCTCTCCAAGAAGGTGTTTCCTTCCAGGTAAGTGCTCAAGATGCACCTTAAAAAGTACTGAAACTTACAGGAAAGGCAAAGGGCGACTGCCACGAGGTAAAGGGGTGGGGCTCCAAGGGTAAGGGGTTGGGCTGGAGGGCTGGGGTGCTGGGCACCTGGGCTCACCCTCATCATGCCGATCCAAGTCGTGCCCGAGTGCAGCCGCCTGCATCCGGGCTGTGGCTGCCCGGAGCTGCAGTCGCCGCCGTCTCGTTGGCAGGTCGGGACCCGAGGCGTCCAATTCCAGCTCAGGGTTCTGGAACTGATCGGTGATGGAGCTCCCGACTACAGGTGGCATATACCTGCGAACACAGCAGCCCCAAAGTCTCCAGTCCGCTCGCTTGGCAAAACACGGCTCCACTACCCCTACCCGGCTAGGCTCTCACCGGCCCCGCCCGGTCCCTGTCCAGCAGGGTGCTGCCTCCTGAGAGATGTCCGCTGCCATGCGGGAGTCCCCGCACACCGTTGTCGGCAGCCCCGTCCAGAAGCCCCGCGCCCGGCCCAAACGTTCGCGGAGATCCCACACCTAAGCAAGAAAGAGAAAAAAACGGGACCCAGTGGAGCTGCAGTGCCTTTCCACCTGCCGCCAGCCCCGCCCCTGCAGACCCGCCCGCTTCCACCTGCTACCTGGCCCTGCTCCCGCCCATGCCTGCTGCCCTGCCTTGGTACCCCACTTCTCTCCCACCTGCTACAGCGCCCTGCCTTGGTACCCCACTTCTCTCCCACCTGCTACTGCACCCTGCTCCCGCCCATGCCCACGCCTGCTGCCCTGCCTTGGTACCCCACTTCTCTCCCACCTGCTACTGCGCCCTGCCTTGGTACCCCACTTCTCTCCCACCTGCTACTGCACCCTGCTCCCGCCCATGCCCACGCCTGCTGCCCTGCCTTGGTACCCCACCTTTCTCCCACCTGCTACTGCGCCCTGGTCCCGCCCGTGCCCACGCATGCTGCCCTGCTTCGCCTGCCGCTCACCAGCCGCTGCATGTTGGTGCCTGCAGCCGTCGTGGGCCGCTCCTCTTCCACCGCTGGTCTCCAGGGACGGCCAACTTCTTCCCAGGGCGCTGGGGCTCGGCGATAGCGTGTGGATACTGGGTGGGGAGTCCCACATTGCTGGAACGCCTGCAACCCAAGGAAGAAACCTCACACACTTCTTACTGCTGTTTCCAGTGCTTTTCACCATGACATCTCCCACTGTGCTCCGAGCCCAGGCTTCCATCCATCTGGGCTGACACACATGCTGTCCCTCCCTCCCCACCCCCACCTCATCTCCACCCTTCTCTCCTCTGTACCTTTTCTGTCACCTTCACGCTGTTTTCCTGCAGGTACATCAGACCTTCTGAGATTTTAATGCCAATGGACTCCATTGCCAGCTCGAAGGAAAAGGGGCCCTGGAGCTTCTCAGCCAGGAGCAGGAGGCCGTCTTGAAGGGGTGGGAGGAGCAAAGGAAAAAAGCCCAGGGAGGGGGGTCACACCTGATCCCCACGGGGTTTCTGAGGGGAGCAGCAAAGTGCAGTGGTGGGGGCGGGTTAGGTTCCTGCGAGAAGAGAGCCCTTCTTGTGTTCTCCCTGCTGTGTGGCTATAGAACCCCCTTCCTGGCTCACCCTCTACCCGACTCCCTGCAGGAATAAGACCCCAGCCTTCCTCAAGACCCTCCTCCGTTCCATCATCCTCACCCAGGTAGCTGCCCCAGTCAGGCTCCAGACCCATGTTGCTCAGACAGCCATGGACCACGTTGAGACAGAAGCCCCTGCAGGGTGCAAGTGAGGGGACTCCCCGGCAAAGGGGGCAGCCGACCAGCCGCATCAAAGCCCGGCTGCAGCTGTCAGACACCGGCATCTGGCAGGGAGGGGTGGGGGACAGAGAGCAGGGCTGTGTCAGCAGAAGCCAAGTGGCTGGCTCTACCTCCCCCCAGCTCTGTGTGTAGGGCTGAGTGGGAGTGATCCCACGGGACAGCAGGCCAGGTCACACACAGGAGGTTCCTAGGGGCCAATTCACAAATGCTACTGAATGGCAAGGGTGGGACTAGAGGGGCACTGGTGGGGGAGGGGGATTCTGAGGACAGATTTAAAGACACGAGTGAGCCATCGTGGTGAAGGGGGAGGGGAGAGTGAAGAGGCTGGAGGTGACCTTAGGGGCTATAGGCCAGCAGCCTGGCCTTCGGCAGGGGGAAGGAGGAGTCATTGAGGGGTCCTGGGGACACAGAGGGGCTGGTGTTCCAACCTCAGGTTGCCAAGGGACCAGAGTTTTGGGGCTGATTCAGAGGGCAGGAGAGGGTTGGGGTGGTAGGTCATGACCTAGACAGACTTTATCCCCACCCTGCTTTCTGGTCTGGTCTGTGATAGTGGCCATCCCCAGGCCTCTCCTGTCTGATGGTGCCCGTCTGTTTCTCATGGGGGCTTCCACTTCTGCCTCTCCCCCAGCCCCGCCCAGGCCGCTTCTAACCTTAAACGTTTCTCTGACCACATTCCGTCCGGTCTCTAGGCCCTGGATAAAGGCCCGGGCAGCCACCATAGATCGGGTTATCTAGAGGAGAGGAAAGCAGGGGAGAGACACCACAAGGTTGTGAGGCTAGAAGACCATACCAGAAGCTTAGGCTGTGTGCGGGGGGCTTTCAAGGTGTGGGATTGTCTTGAGATGGGCAGAGAGTAGGGAGTGAGGTCAAGAGCCCCATGGAATTGCAGTTGGGGAAGAGAGAGAGGAAGGGGGTTTGGGAAGAACTGGGGTGTCACCCAGGGCTTGGCGGAGGAGACAGTGAAGCCAGAGGATCAGATGTTGAACCTGTGGGAGCCCCAGCGTTCTCCTTTGTAAAATAAGGATCTGCCTCACAGAGCTGGGAGGACATTTAAATGAGATCTTATACGTGCGAATGCTCTCAAGGAGTGAACACCTGTTTCAGCTGTGGAGGGAGCACAGCAAGTGATGATGTTAGAAGCAGAAAAAGCAGCAGAGAGGTGGCTGCAGCCGGGAGCAGGTGAGTGTCGATGTGAAAGTAGGGGTGCAAAGTGGAAGTGGGGGGCAGCCAGTTAAGACACCAAGGAGCACTGGGTCAGGCACAGGTGTCCGAGGTTCAAGATGGGAGCCACCAGGCCAGAGATGGGGAGTCTCCAGCGCAGGGATCAGAGGTGGCCGGGCATCCTTCACCTGCAGGCGGAGGCGGCGGGGTGAGTCCCCGAAGGGGTGCAGAGAGCCATCGGCAGCTGAGGCCAGGTGTGTGAGACACAGCAGGAAGTCGGGGGAGAACCGGCGCTGTGGGTGCAGCAGGGGAAAGGTGCGCTCCAGGAGCTGGGCCCAGAAATCCGCCAGGATGTCATCCAGCCCCTCGCCAGTCTTGGCATAGTAGTCTCGTAGCTGAGAGAACAGGCCATTGAATATGGAGGCGTGCTGGGCATACAAGCGGCCGTAGGAGTGGGAGAAGAGCTGGGCCAGGGAGTGCTGGGATATTGAGAGCGTCTCCTGAAAAAACTCTGTGGTAAATGCAAGGGACGGGGTGGGGGAGGGAAGCGGGGAGCAGGGGGCAGAGGGGAGAGGAGGCCAAAGAAGGGGAGAAGAGTGAAAGGGCAGAAGCAGGAGGGGATGGGAGAGAAGAGAGAAAAGACAAGGGGATTAGCAGCCGAGCGACTCAGAGACCTGGGCAGTCTGATAGGGAGAACAGGAGTCCCAGAGAGACCCTGCATGAGGCTGGGAAAGAACGGCGACAGGAAGCATGCTGGGGTCACACACACAGAGGGGAGCCCAGGTCCTCACCGTTGAATTTCTTGTGCCGGGCAGCCAGCGATTGGGCCAGGAAAGAGCCGCTGCTCTCCACCAGGCTTTGGAAGGTGGCTTCCGTGTCCCTGATGAGCCTCTGCTCTGTCTCACTGGAACAGCAGGTGTACTCCTGGGGACAGACCCTGAGGTGCTCGCCTGCACAGCGGAGACAGCAGGCACAGTGGGAGGTGATCGCAGCAGGTGCCTTCCATCTCCCGCCCTTTTCTCTCTATTGTCCGTCTCCTCACCATCCCCACACAACCACAAATCCAGTCCCATCAACTAGGGCTGTTTGACAGCTGCCCCAGGGGCCACAGACGTGATCAAGTGTCCTTAGGTGACCCTCCCCAAGGGAACTGGGACGACTCCCTCTGTGGGATGAAGAATGGGGCTTGGAGGGGGTTAGGCTATCTGGTGAGCCAGAAGGGATTATCTTGGAAGGTGCTGGTAGAAGCAGTAAGGGGAGTGTTTGTGAAGAAAGGAAGCAGGCAGGGGGTGCTAATGACTAGAAAGGGATTCCCAGGGTGAGGGTGGGGTAAGAGCTATGATATGGATGGGAGGCTCATAGAAATCTTGGTGAGGAAGTTACAGGAGAGAGATAATTGCGGGATGGGAGGATTATCATAACGGGTCACTCTGAAAGGAAAAGTTATTGTGTGAGGGGAAGCCCCGCCCCTGCCTCCCCTCCCACCCCCCAATCACCAATTCTCTTAGTCTTCCTCTTTCTCCTCACCTGAGATCAGTGTGGAAGGGATTAGGTCTAAGCTATATTTCCGCGCCCCCAGCACCTGCCGGGTCTCTGCACAACTCCGGGTGACCTTTGCCTCGCTCCCCTGTCCGGGACCGGGACCGGGACACAGAGGCAGCAGCAGAAGCAGGAGGGGTCGCAGCACGGACATGGCTGCAGCCGCCCCGGGACGGCCCAAGTGGGTCCTAAGGAGGAAAGAAGAGCCCACCCGGACTCCAGAATCCGGGTCTCGGCTGCGGAACTGCTCCGCCGGTCAGAGAAAGAGCGCAACCCCCCGAAAACTGAACACGACCCAGGATAGCTGGACCAGGAGGCATCTGCGGAGACAATGGGAGCCCGGAGCCGGACAGGGGGCGGGGCCCGAGGCGGGGCCGCGCCAATGATGGGAAAGAGCCGGTCTTGGGGGCGGGGCCAAAGCCGAAATGGAGCCAATGTGGTGGGACAGCTCGGAGGGGCGGGGCCGGGACTCGGACGCACAGGGGAAGTTGATGAGCTGGGGGCGTGGCTTTTCTTGGAGGCGGGGCTATTCGGCTCGGAAGGCGGAGCCTGAGTGAAACATAGCCTGTGGGAGTTGAGGAGTCAAATTGAAGGGGCCTAGCCCGAAGCCCCGCCGGCCGAGGGGGCGGGGCGAGGGGTGGAGGGGTGTGGCCTAACCAAGGCTCACACGGGCGGCCCGCGCTCTCTGGCCCACGTGACAGGGCGGGGCGGCCGAGAACCAGTGGCTGCTCGACGCGGCCGCAGCGGCGTGACTGGAACGTGGTGAGCACGAGCTCGCACGCCCCCTCAGTCTCGCGGCAACTACGAGCGCTGAGGCGGAGCCGTTGGGTTTGCGCCTGCGCAGCTGGGGTCCTCGTGCCTTCCCGCGTTTTTCTAAACGCTTCCGCGGTCGGAAGAAAAGTGTCGCGGGCCGCTGGGCCGGAGGGCGGAGGTAGCCGGAGACACCTGAAGGAAGGCCTCGAGGCGGTGACCCGTCCTCAAGCCTGCCCAGCGAGAAGTCACTCTGACTCGTTTGGACAGTGAGAGTCCCCTTTAGTCCAAGAATACGCCCTTCCCCGTTCCCCACCCTCCGGGCCCTGAGGGGAGAAGCCGTCCGCTTTGGAGCTCGGGGGGCCTCCGCTCGAGAGGCTGAGAACTCGGCCCTCGGTCTCTTGAGAGACTCGTAGTCGTCCCCGCGGAAGCGGCTGGAAGGCGCCCCAGCGGTCGCTCGTGGAGGAACCCTTCTAGAAAAGAGCAGGCTCACCTCTTTCTCCCTTTTCGTGTTTCCAGTTTGGTCTAACAGCTCCTCCGCCCTCGCCCCCCCCCCCCCATGGTTGAGTTTCCCGTTCTACCCCATATTGAATTAAGTTGGGCTTTGAGAAATGACCTTCTTGTTTCGCTTTTCCTTTGTTCTGTGGGGCGGGAGTTTCTTACCCCGCAGCCTGGGGGTGGGATGGGACATGGGCATTTTGTATCTTGGGGGGCTAGTGTCCCCCTGTCTGTCCCTAGGGCTGGCCAGGCCTAGGGTGGGCGACGTGGCGAGCGGGGTGGGAGCTCTGGGCTCGTTTGTCTCCTGCAGCCCGAGCGCCATGCCCACCCTGCGCTCGTCCTCGTCCTCCTCCTCCTCCCCGCGCTGCGGTGCGGGGGGCAGCGCCCGCGCCCCGTCGGCTTCTCCCAGCTCCTCCGGCCGCCAGCCCTGCCGAGACCCCGACCAGACCTCGCAGGGGTGAGTCGGGGCAGGGGGCGAGACGTTGGTGGCAGTAGGGTGCTGGGATCTGCCGAGGAAGAGGGACATGGAGCAGAATCCATCCAGCTTTGACTTGGACGAGTTTCTGGGTTGAGCCTGTGCAGGCTCCTGCTCGTCCTGAGAGCTGGGATTCGGAGAATCAGCAGCCCTCGGTCGCCAGCTTGGCGTATGTGCTGTTTTAGTTGGTGTCCTGTTCCCACTGGGGATTTGGTAAATAGCTTATGTGGATGAGAGGGTTCTGTGAAGGTTGTAGTACAAGGGAGCCCTCAGCTCAGGGGGAACATAAATGTACGAATGTTAACATTTGGAGGGTCTTTCAAAGACTTCTGGATCCCATTGCACTCCCCAAATTGCCTCAATGACCGAGGCCTGGGGAGGTGGAAACCAGGAGACAGGAACTCCATCTGGGTTTCTGCTGAGGAAGGTCAGGGCCGAGCACCATCTTCGGTTGTCTTGCATTCAAATAAGCCAGAAGCGCAATTGGAAACAGCGGGAGCTGGGAGTCAGACTGTTCATAAGATGCAGGTGTGGCAGACAGGGGCTAAGGTTACCTGAGCCTTGACACTGGCCCCAAACTTATATTTAAATTGTCTCATGAGTTTTTTTTTTTTTTTTTAAGTAGCCGTCTTATGTTAATCTTTGTGGGGAAGGACTAAGCTCCTACAAGCTTTAGTCTCTTTTTTAAGTTTTTTTTTTTTTTTAACTGGAAGGGCAGATTTACAGAGAGGAGAGACATAAAGATTGTCTATCCGCTTGTTCACTGTCCAAATGGCCAGAGCTGAGCCCATCCAAAGCCAGGAATGCAGTCTTCCACGCGGGTGCAGGGTCCCAAGGCTTTGGGCCATCCTCGACTGCTTTCCCAGGCCACAAGCAGGGAGCTGGATGGGAAGTGGAGCAGCTGGGACACGAACCAGTGCCCATGTGAGATGTGGGTGCTGCAAGGTGGAGAATTAGTCAGCCGAGCTGTTGTCGGCCCCAGTCCCTGGTTATTTTTAACGGACCCTCTCAGTCTGTCAGTGCTGCTGTTGGGACCAAGTTATATCAATGTTATAGAACTTCACTCTGATCAGAATCTGTGGTTGTATCTCAGAAGGTGAAAAGCACTTCCATCACCTGTTAGTCTCCTGTTTATGAGCGATATGTAAATTCCTGACCCTCACTGATTCTTTTTTCACAAAAAGGAGTAATCTCTCTGTGACTATCACTCGATTTCCTATAGGGAGTGTTAGGAGAGGGTTGTTCTCCTTTATCTATTCCAGTTCCTCATACTTCGTCTCTTTTGCTTCCAAATGAAAGTTTTAAGATTATCCCTACTGGAGCTGTGCCGTGGCTCAGTGGGCTGATCCTCCACCTTGTGGTGCTGGCATCCCCAAAGGGTGCCATTTCCAGTCCTAGCTACTCTACTCCCAACCCAGCTGCCTGCTTATGGCCTGGGAAAGCAGAGGATGGCCCAAGTCCTTGAGTCCCTGCATCCTGGCCTTGGAAGAAGTTCCTTGCTCCCAGTTCAGCTCAGCTGTGGCCCATGTGGCCATCTGGGGAGTAAAGCAGGGGATAAAAGACCTGTCTTTGCCTCCTCCTTTCAAATACATTTTTTTTGGGGAAAAAAAAACTGTTCCTGCTTTCCAGCAACAGTGATCTCTTCTAAGGATTGATTTTATTTTTTGAAAGAGTGAGAGACCAGGAGAGGGGTTTCCATCTATAGCTTCACTCCCCAGGTGCCCACGATATGGGGTGTGCAGGAGGGAGGAGCTTCTTTCCCAGTGCCTTGGGCCATCTTAAGCTGCTTTCCCAGATTGATTAGACAGCTGGATTGGAAGTGGAGTAGCCAGGACTTGAACTGGTGCCCGAATGGGACTGAACCTGATAACACCACAGCACTGGTCCCTAATTTAATCATCATTTTTGAAATCTGCAGTTTTGTTCATGGAAATAGAGTATAGCTGGAAACAGAGAAATTAAAAATTATACTTTAGGTTAAAGGAATAAATTTGTATTTAAAGAAAACCATACCCCATCATAGGAGCAGTGACTCTTTGTCAACTGATGAAGGCAGTGACTTTGAAGACAGTCTGAGACGCACTGTGAAGAAGAGAGCAGCAAAGCGACCACTCAGACTAACTCCAGTGAGTCCATTTCTTGTTTTTGAACATGATCTGCAAAGTGGCAGAACACAGAAGAGGTTCAAGTGATATGTTAGTGAAAGGACGATATTTAGTGTGTTAAGGGACAGATGTAGGAAAAATACTTTTTGAGAATTAGAATGTAGAGATAGGATAGGTTCCAAAGTATTTTAAAAAGTTTTTAAATTGTGCATCAGAGAGACAGAGTTTCCAAATGGTTCATTTCCAAATGTCTACAACAGCCAGAACTGGGTCAGACTGAAGCCAGAAGTTGGAAACTTCTGTGGGTCTCCAGGTGGTAGGGATACAAGTACACTCCAAGTATGTCAGCTGGGTGGCAGGGACCCACACCATCACCTGCTGCCTCTCAGGCTGTACGTTAGTGGAAAACCAGAGTCCAAGTTGGAGCCAGGACCCGAGTTGACATTTCTGTGTGGGATGTGGGCATCTCAAGCAGCGTCTTCATTGCTGCAGCAAATATTGCCCCCTCAGCGACCTTTAATTTTCATTTGAGGGGTAGAGATCTTCCATTTACTGATTCACTTCCAGATGCTTGTGCTAGGGCTGGGCTAGGCCACAGCCAGGAGCCTGCAGCTCTGGTATCCCACAGGCAGGCATTTGATCTGTCATTTCCTCAGATTCTCATTGGCAAGAATATGGGTTGGAAGTGGAGCAGGAGGAACTTGAACCAGGCACTCCCAAATGGGATGTCGATGTACCAAGCAATGTTTGCTTTGTTGATCACCTGCCCTTCAAGGACTCTTTAAAAAGAATTTGGGATTAATCACGATCATCATAACCTAAAAATCAGTTATTTCAGGTTCGAGTTTATAACAGTATCTGCTATGGAATTGGCAGCTTACATCTGTTAATGTGATAACATTACTTTCACTTTCTCCTAATTTTATTTTTTGTTTTTATTTTTATTGTACTGCTGATAGGTAGCCAAACATCCAAAGAAGGGGTCCTATGTGGTCCGTGTTCGTGGTCAGAAAGTGTCACAACCACCAGCCAATGATCTCTTTGATGCTGTGAAAGCTGCCAGAGGTGATATGCAGGTAAAGCAGTGTCACACTTCTGTCTCTTGATGCTGTCTTGCCCTTTGTGAGTGGGAGATAAGGATGGGTGTCTGCAAACTTGTGGACATTTTACTGATCCCGCTTATATCAACTGATTGTTCAGAGCTCTGGAATAATATAAGGGAGTTGTTGGATCAGAATATTCCTTTTTAAAAAAGATTTATTTATTTTTATTGGAAAGGCAGATAAGATTTATGGAGTGAAGGAAACAGAAAGATCTTCATCTGCT